GCGCAGCCTTTGCAGCTTGCGCCCACACGCCCTGAACGACATCATCGATCACAGTCCAGCCCTCTTCTCGTTCGAACTTTGCATCGGTTGACCACTCCTTCCAGCGTCCTCCTTCTAGCTCTCGCTCTCGCTCTCCTTCTGCTTGTTCTGGAGCCCTGAAATCCACGCGGCCAATGCGGCCCCTGCGCCCCCTTGGTGCAACCCTCTAAAAACGGCCATCCCCTCGCGCCGTCGCGCTGGTCGCCGGAGACCGGAGTTTTGGTAATTCAACGGGAGCTCCTCAGTAGGCCTCCTGCTTGTGCCGGTGGTAGCCCCGGAAGTCCTCGATCCTCACGCTTCTTTTCGACTCAGATCCCAGTTGCTCCTATGGGCAAACAGCAACTGTTCTTTTGGTTTTTGGAGTGGGGTTCCCTTAGTTACCTGCTAATGTTGACCCCATGTTAATCAACCCCAGTTTAATAATAGGAGGAGGGTCCATTTCTGGGTTTAGCGGGAAATCAAACCACTATTGGAGGGGAACCCTATTTCATAAACTGGCTGGTTGAAACTCATTTGGGGTCAACATTATACGGCGGAAATGGATCTAGGTTTGTTGCTAGTGGGAGACCAAACCTCACCGATTTCTTCCAAACATTGTTTCCAGGATGTACACGGCCTGTTTATTACCGCGATTGGAACAGGACAGAAAATCCTGGTCCCACCTTGAGCAGAGGATGCCCCAATTCCATTCATCTAGTCAAGGGGGTGAGCCATGTGGGGACAACCCAAATTTGGAATCATGCTCAAGCGCGTAAACCTGCCACATGCTCTAAGAATAACAATTGTCTCAGAGCTTAGCAGGAAAACAAACATTCGAACCCCGAGCCCCAACCTGCTTCTTTGGCCCCAAAGACCCAGGACGAAAGGGTAAACAGCTCGAGCCATAGGTGTCCATTTAGGGGAAATAGATAGCCCTGGTAGATGATTAAACCACCAGGTAAACCAGGGCCATCTATTTTTCTACCAAAACAACCAAAAAAGACACCTATGGCTTGGGGGTTGGATTCAACCCCCACACTTTTCCCACCATGGAAGTGGTCAGGGAGGCCTTTCTGAGATGGTCCATAACCCTCCTGGCCGCTTCGTGGTGAAAAGAGGCTATGGCAACGTTGAGAAATGTGTGAAGCACCCTCCAAAGGGAGGTGGATGGTTGAAAAATTGATTCCCAGGTGAGCCTGTTGGAATTTGCCCAGACTGAGAATTCCAAACTCAGCTTCCCTCTTGAATGGGACTGCTCCCATAAACTGGGATCCACTGGGCAAATATAGCTGGATAGCTGGCGACGCGATTAGAATTGGGCGGGGTACTTCAAAACCATAGGGCAACAAGGTGTGTAACTTTTCTTTTGGGCCAGTCTTAAGTGAGTGTCCATTTGTTTGGGTGATGTTTGAGGGAACCTTGGGAGCCCCTCTTATTTCGCCCCTTTTTCTTACTGTGGTTGGCCGAAATCCCGCACCACCTACGAAACCCTGCAATGATTCGATTCCCCTGTAAATACCCACCAACCTTATGGTTTTAACCATGGTTTCCAAGTGGTGCGAACGGATTTCGCAACCATCCACAGTATGGCCCAGACGTTCTCATTTTTTCGGCCGCGAGTCATCCACCCCCCGGCCGCCAAGTGCTCCAGCCGCCCCGAGGCGTCCACCAGTCGTCGGGAGATCTCCTTCGGTGTTTCCCGCGCGCGGAACGGGGTGCAAAACCTCACTTGCTGAGTGGATGGCCCAAAAGAATGTCCAAACTGTATATTTACCACTACAATGGTGTCCCAAAAAGTTTAAAGTTCATGAACTCAAGAAGTCTCTCACACTTTTCAGCTGTCACTCAATTGGTGGTTTGGAGTGGTGGTTTGGGATTTGAACTCCAGTTTCATTTGCAAACCAAACCGACCGCTTTTCAGGTACTGTGGATGGACGGAATCCATTCGCACCACTTTGAAACTACGGGAACCGTTGTTGGTTGGTGTTTACAGGGGAATCGTCATTCCAGGGTTTCTTAGGTGGTGCAGGATTTCGTCCATCCGCAGTATCACTTCATTGGTGGTTTGGATTGGTGGCTTGGGATTTGAACCCCAGTTCCTTGTGCAAACCAAACCACCAAATAGTGGAAAGCTGAACTTTGGGACGTCCCCATTTTCAGACAGCCCCATTTTGGTAGCAAACCACAAGCTAGACTTCAGCAAGCAACAAAGGGCTACGCCCAGAAGAAGACACATCTATGTGAACGACTCACGCTACACCTGATTGTCCAGTGGCAGCTTGAAAAAGACCACCAACATGTCCCATATCATTCATTCAACAAACCCACCCAAGTTGTCCATGTGCTCTAGGGGACAAAACATCTTGGCAAACATCACAACCTGTTGCAAAGTGAATTCAGGACCTTGGAGAACTTTCATCAAGCTCAATTTGCCACTCCCCTCGACGAATCCATATTACCAAGCTTCAAAGACCCCACCCAAGAAACCTCAAAAGTTGTTGTTTAAACCACTTGACCTCCGCTCACAGTCAGCGCCCCAAATGTTGGAGGAAACAAGAAACACTGGGTATGGCAAGTTGTCTTGGGTGTGCATCGTCTTGCGGGCCCATCTGGGATGTCGTTGCAGGAAACCAACAGAAACCGGGCCTATTTTGGGGAGTCACGTACAGCATCTTGAGGCCATGTGGCCATGGCTCAAAACCCCGTCCCCCCAGTGAACATCCGATTCAATCCAACCACTCAAATAGGCTGACTCTAAAAATGGTGGTGAATTCACCAATCCCAACCAAAATGGGATCCCAAAACGGTTCTGACAACCACCGCGTCTCACGCAGCGTCCGTTCACGTCCTGGCCGAAGGGCGACAGCTTTCGGTGCGCCGCCGCAGGCAGCACGGGCTGGCACGGGTCCAAGATCTCCCCGCTGCCGCACCTCAAATCCACACAGATCCACACCGTGGTCCGAATTTCTGTGCTTTTTGCCCCAAAACTGTGATGGATGCACCTCAGACCCAACACACCGGGCACACCGTGGGCCGCTTTTCTCAGCTTTTGCCCCAAAAATAAAAATGGATTGACGTGTAAGTGATGGACTGAAGTGTAAGCTCAACCAAGATGCCTGTAGATGCACGCGGGCAAATCTGTGGACATGTCTGTGCCATGGTGGGCATGCGTGTGCGCGAAGAGTGAAATGGGCAGCGCGGTGCGTCTGACAAAAGGTCTGCCCGGGTCAAAGTGTCTGGACGAGCGCGGCAGCAAACGGACGCAGCCCTAATGCTAGCATCCTTGTTTTTACTGCATTAACAACCAAAAGGCCAAGCTGCAGCCAAACGCAGGTGACACGACCAAGCACTCACTTTCTTCCAAGGGCTGGCGCTTTCAAAAGCTCAGCAGCCTAAATCCCACCACTACCCAGACGCGGCCTGTTGCTTGAGCTGCATGCACACACAAGAAGCATCAAGCGCAACAGCAAACTTAGGGGCAAGCAGAAACATGAGAGTGAAAGTGGCGCGCAGGCCATATCCCAGCCCACCCTAGCAAGCGCACCAACCTCTGGATGTATCCAATGTCTTGTCACGCCAGCTTTGGTTTACTAGCTGATTGTCACATCGCTTTCTTGAAAAAGATGTGACGTCAAACGACTGCCACTGAGTCTGTGGGTGACGGCGTGTTTTTTTCAAGGAGGCGACATCAGTTCCGCCGTGTCGAGCACTGGCTTGGCCTCGTGCAGGGTGGCGACAGGGTCATCTGCGTAAACGCTCCCTTGGTTTCAGGCACGGCAATATGTCCACACGGCTACTGTTTGCAGGATGGGTCAATTTTATGACCCAAAGATCGACGTGGCTCGACTTGAACATGCAGAATGCGGCCACGTAAAATGGAGAACAATCGGCAAGAACTTAGCTGGCAGTCATGTTGTTTGGCAGTTCTTCTCAATTCCAGCACACGAGTGGGAAGAGCTGGAAATACACCTCTTCTTTGATTGTTGTTGTTGCTTTAGTGGGGGGCGTCCCTTCTTGGTAAGGCGTGTGCCTTGGGGGTGGGTTCTGGGTCGCGTCCTGTCTTACGTGTGCATGTGTCCATGTGCCCGTGTGTACACAAGTGTTAATGACAGTGCAAGCGCGCAATGTGCATGTGAGTTTTCTGTGAGCATCTGTGAGCATGTGTGAGCATGTGTGAGCATGTGTGAGCCTATGTGACCATGTGTGAGCGTGTGTGAGCATGTGTGAGCATGTGTGAGCATATGTGACCATGTGTGAGTGCATGGGTGTACCTAGCACGTGTGTATGAGTTTGGTAGCAAATTCTTTCCGCCCTGCCCGTGGCTGGGCCAAAACGAAACAGGAGTCGGCATTGCAGTGTTTCGGCCTCATACCTATTTTTGGACTCGTAGACAGTTTGTGTTGACCTTTGCCAGTGTTGCATCCCGATACAAAAAAACAAATCCACCCTGAATAACCCAAGACAATAGAGGTCTTCATGGAGTGAGTCGGAGGGAGCATCCCCAGCATTGCTAGCATCATTTGAGCCACGTTGCTTTTGGCAACGGATCAGCACCAGTTTGTTCTAAATGATGCTGATGATGCTGGGGATGCTGCCCTCCTATGCATCCAAGCTTTCGTAAGGTGCAGGAAAAACCGAAAAGTCAGCATATATAACCGAATGACAATCACCTAATCCTTGCATTCACTCCGTTCATTTACCTCCTCCAAGAGAGTCCAACAGCCTTTCTCGGTCTTGTCTATCTCTCGTTGGTCGGAGGTAAGCTTCATGCAAGTTGCTATTTGAGAGTGGCTCGGGGAGCCATGTCTAGCACAAGAATGCTCTGAGGTGGTTTGTTTGGAGGCATCATGGATGACAAGGTTCATGACAAGTGGCAGGAAAGGGGGGGTGGAACCCTCGGCAAGAATCGGAATCAACAATCTGAACAGTTTGCTTTGGCTCGCCAGGCGTTTTTGAGTTGGTACCCCTTTTTTGGTGGTTTCAAAGGGAAACCAAGAGGAGACCCACCCTTTTTGCGGGGGTCTAAAAGAATACACGCCCAGATGGGTTGACATGCCCTTGCTTGCCTTCTTGCAGACTCCGAAAGGGACCTTTGCAACTTGGCCGGTCAAAAAACCGAAGACTCGGTGAGCTCATTCTGCCTGTGGCGCTGGTGGTTAAGAGTCCTTTATTTCTAAAGGGAGAACTGTCAGACTTCATTTCTTGGCTGGAATTAGGACCCCAGCAAAAACAAAACGGTTTTGCCTGGTTGGTGGAAAACAAAGGGGACACCCCCCCAAAAAGAGAAAAGGGGAACTAATTCTGGGGAAGATTTACCAACTGCATAACAAAAAACAAAAATACGCACAAACCTCCCAAACCCTGAGGGGGTCAGCATCACCTCCACTCCCCCTAAAAGAAACCAAAAGCAAAATAACACCCCAACCCCCTAGAAACAAAAACTGCAAAAAACAAAAACAAAACAAAACTTCCCTTGGCCTCCCCTGATACCAGTTGTTTCCGTCTCGCCAAAGCGGCGTGAGGGCGCCCCACTGCAGGCTCACGAACTCCGCGTTGGGCAGCAGCCGGGGCTTGGCTGCCGCCGATGGCGTGCCCCCGTGCCAGAGCCGCAGGTCACGGACGATCGCGGCGCCTCGGCTTTGGCGAGTGGAGTGGACTGGACGGGACCAACCCTCCCACCAGCTAAAATGGAAGTGCACAGACCCCTGTAGAAAGACTATTTTCCTCTTGGAAAGGACCTTTTTGCACTTCCATATTAGTTGGTGGGAGAAAAATGGGTGTGGCTCAAAATGAAAGATCTATGGTTGCGCAGGTCTTGGTCGTTGGTTCCACTTACCAAGGTGCCATTTTGGTACATCTATTTGAGCCACTGCCAAATCAGTCGCATCAGTTGACGGCTTGCTGGTGTGCGTCATGACCTGCGCAGGCTTCCTCCTGCTCACTACATAGGGGTTGTCGCCCCAGCTATCAGTTGACGGCTTTATCCAGGCTTGCAGGTTTCATCTATGGCAACTGGAGTTTGCCCATCCACAGGTCAGGTATGAACCATCCAGCCTTCGGCCTGTTGGCGTCACAACTTGCGTCTGTTTGTGGGAGCAGCTGTTTTCGGTCGGCTGCAAATCGATGGCGTGTCATCGCGGTATCTTTAGAGTAGAATTGAAAGGTTTTTTTGAGGGATCCTTTTTGGGCATAAAGGAAAAGCCAACTGGAAACCAGCCCGTCAATCCGCCATTTTGACACAAACCCAAGTCTACATCCCATTGATTATTGTCAATACGTGACCTACTTGGTCAAAAACACGCTCTTGATAGGAACAAGAAAAGCCCTGAAATTCACAACGGCCTGCTGTTTAGCTTGGCTCACCAAAGCAAGCTTCGACATGTTTCGGCCTTTTGATCAAGATATGCACCTTGACCGCCCCGTTTGGCACGGCCAAAAAAAGGCGGGCATGCCACATTCCTCCTTTTACATCCCAACCCCGCCCCACCCGACCCCCCAGTAGAACATGTTTTGTCTACCCTACGGCTGGTTTTTCCCTAGGGCTGGTTTTTCGCATCCCCAGCATCACCAGCCTCACTTGGACTCAGGGTCTCGGGTTGCCTGTTGGAGTTGCTTTCAGTATGGGTCGTTTTAGGCTGGCTGGGTCTTGGGTTGGGGGTTCACTTAGGCTCAGCACAGGGCTGACATCCGCTGGGTGGGGTTAATGACTCTGGTGGGAGCTGATTTGTGGCGACCACAATGAAAGCCGCCGAGCAACTCCCAACTGCCACCGAATCGCCCTAGGTCCAAGTGAGGCTGGTGATGCGGGGCATGCGGCCAACCAACCCACCCACCCACCAACCAACCAACCAGCCAGCCAACCAACCAGCCAGCCAGACAGCATCCTCCCTCCCCCCAAAAAAGAAAAAGGCACACACACAAGCGGCAGGGCGCCTGCCGGCAGTGGGCACAGCACCGAGCTCTTCATGTCCCAAGGCTCTCTGGACAGGTCCGGGGGCTCCGAGGTGTTCCTGAAAAAGGGCCACCCACGCGCCAAGAGTAGGTGGCGCGTCTCTTGGGAGTTTGACACTTTTTCACCCAAGTTGGACAAGGTGTTCCTGTTGGCTTCCCTTTAAAACCTACCAAAAAAGGTGTGCCTTTAAAAAAATCAAAACACACACACTGAGTCAAAACTCCTATGGCCGATTTGCTCCCTCAGAATCCTTCTAGTAGTTAATGATCCTTAGCATGTGGGGCCATCCCTGCTAACCCCAAGTAAAGCAACCCATGGCACATTTGGCTTCCGGGTTGGAACCCCGTCACAAAACACCCCTTTGGCATCAACCAGGACCCGTTTGGAAACAACCTGGAATTGGGATCCATCGAAGGCTGAGACCTCCCCAAAAATCCGGTCACTACAAGTTACAAGGAGGCCCTAACTTAGACCAAGGTTTGTCTTTCTTTGGGGGCCCTTTTGGGGGGAGGATCGGGGGTTCAAGGGAACCCAACAAGAAAACCGCCATTTTGCGACAAGTCCCACCCCAAAACGAACGGCACGTAACAACTCGCTTCCCTCTGGGATTCGAGTCAGACCCCGAGGCTTTGAGAGACGCCCAAACCGAAAAAGCTGGCCAAGGATATTGGCCTCGTGCAACTAAGCTTAACACCCAAACGAATCAAGGTACTTGACGCATGAGGGCTATGTTCCTTGAAGCAATAATTCGGGTTCGCTGCACTGTGTCACACCTTATGTCCGTTCATTTTAAAGAGAAACGACATCACCAAAAAAAAATACACGATCCCTGTGCAATGAAGGTCCATCAAGGGGTCTTAAAGCATCGTTGCCAGATAGTTTGTCCATATTTTAGGTTTGTCCATAGGATGGGACTTCCGATTCCCTTTGAATTCCCCACACAAAAAATGGTGCCAGCTCAAAAACCGACATGCCCACATGGGAAGAGTAAGGTTTGATTGGACCAATGTCCCAGAAATGCTCACCAAACTTCATGTGGTGCCAGTTGGTACCCTTTGTGCATCGGGAAACCAAAAGGAAACTGAAGCCTGTGATGGTCCGACATTAGATGAAGCCCAGAAGGAAGCCACAGAACAAACTAGATGAGACCAACCTCACCTCTAAGAAACCAGCTACTCGACATCCCGGAAGATCACCAACACCCTTGTTTCAATGTATTTGGGACTTCCGAATCTCACGATCGATCCCCACACAAAGCGGCTAAAGTCTTTGTCTACACCCTTATTGGAAGGACATTTGGCAAGCTTCCTGTAGACTCTCCTGCTGGTTTCTTCGACTCGTCCCTCAAGCCATTGTATTGTGCACGGGAAATGTCTCTTTCTGTGATACCTTTGGCAGGCCATCGCTACGGCATTCTCATGCTATCACCAGGTGGCCCTCAAGACCCAACTTCCCACGGTCCTGTGAGAGAAGGGCACCACCCTCAAAGGCGCATCTGCGCAGGAGAGGTCCTCCAGCACAAAGTTCACACCCACGGCCGGCGCCTTCCGAAGGGGAAGAAACGCTGAAGAGTCGCCTTGGGTGTCCCTTGGGCGTCCCTTTGAATTCTCTCTGGTTCCCCTTTGTGGAAACAGGAAGACCGGGAGTGGTTGCAGTGGAGGATCTACCCTTTCCCCAAACATGGCACCATTTGTGGAGCGCTGGAAAAATATGCTTGCTCCTTTTAAGGAGAAGGTGCCATGTTGCTGGGAGTTGTATAAATTGGTTCAGTCCTCTTCAGTCATGTCGCGTTTGCGCCAAGGCCTCTTACAAGGGGTGCTCCAAAGGACAGCAGAATCAGTTTCCTTCTGATTGCTGGCTTGGATTGGCGGTTTGGTGGTTAAGGGTTGGTTTCCCATCTATGCTCTTGGAAAGCCAGAGGTTCCACCTAAGGGTTAGCCGATTGAAGGTTGGGTCCTAGAAAATGAAGAGTAAAGATGTGTGGCTTGGTCATTGTCTTGAGACACCTAATGGATCGGCAAGGCGAGCAGCATCCGAAACCAGTTGGCGTTTGGTTCTGCCAGATATTGTGCAGGTTAATGTGCGCGCCCGAACCGCAAAAAGCACAAGGCAGAAACACTGGCCAACTGGAGGTGAGCTCGTGAACCAATTCAAGTATGTGTCTTTCTGGCTTCCCTTCAACCCCCAAAATGGTACCCAGAAGAAAAAGAAGAAAAAAAAGCCCCGCAGCAGCGCCTTGTGGAGGCTGTGCACGGGCCCCCCCACATCCAGATGCAGCGACTGGAAGGTGCTGGTGCCCGGCAGCACCTTCAACTTGCAAGTGGAAAATTGGAGGAGTCGCAAAACAAGTCGAAAGTCAAAGCGCTCTGAAACCAAAAGCTAGCAAACCGGACAGGTGTCAACGGTTGAGAGCCAAAAACGTAGAACCCTGCAAAGGTAGAAAACCAGAGAGGTTCAAATGGTTGGCAAAAAAAGAAGAGCGGAGAGTAAAAACCGGTAAGTTTCTGGCCAGGCACAAAGTCGCCACCCCCGCCACATGCCAAGAAGGCCCCTTCTTCGTAGTAGGTGGCCAGCAGGAAATGCACTGCCGCATTGTCCAGCCTCGATCGATCGAAGAAACGGAGGTGGAAAATGTGTGTGAGTGACCGCTGCAACCAAAAACCGCCACTCGAAAAAAAGTGGAACAGCCATTGAAAAGCGGAGAAGCAATTATTCAACCCAAGACAAACAAACGAAAAAGGCGAGCGCAAAGCCGCCGTAAAAAAGGTCGGCGACAAGACAGCAGCACGCAACATTGCATGGGTCGGCTGCCTGGTATGCCGACAAAAATCTGTCACTCGAAAAAGTGGAACGGCCCTTGAAAAGCGGAGAAGGTCAGACCCTCCCCCAAACAAGCCAGAAAGGACCAAACACACGCATGCATATGCACGAAAAAGCACATGGGGAACCTGTCTTCAAAAGGGCTTGGGTCTGCAAAAACGTGCGGTTCTAAGACAAACGGACCGTTTGGAGGGCCAACTTCATGTGAGGTAACTGAGGGAACACAAGGGCCGCGTGCCGCACGGCCAACAAGAAGGGAGTTCGCAACTTCACTGAGAGAGAACCTTGAAGGGGAGCCCAGAACCCTTTACTGCGGCAGCCAATCACAAACCTTTTCACCAAATGCTCTAAGCGAGCAGGAGCCACCACTCTCAACACCTAGGGTTGTTGCTACGTACCCCTTTACATACTGTGGAGGGCCAAACTCCATTTCGCACCACCTAAGAAACCCTGGAATGATTTGATTCCCCTGTAAATACCGACCAACAATACCCTGGTTTCTGATGATTCCCCTGAAAATAAACAAACGTTATGGTGTCAACCATGGTTTCATTTTGTGGTGCGAAAAGGATTTCGTCCATCCACAGCACCCGAGTAAACTTCCACTAGCCCAAGGAGCAGTCGCTCCCAGCCGGGCAGGTGCATCATATGCAGCGTGCGGCTGGCGCCGCCAAAGCTGTACCTCCTGGGATTTGGGCGGTGTCTGTTCTTAGGGGACCCCGAAAATGGTGGTTGTCCTGTTGGTGTCCCCTTGGAACCACCCCTCCACCAAAAGACAGACACGTGTCCGTTGCTGGGAAAGGCAAAAGGCGCCTGAACAACCCTGGCATAAGGGGCTTTCCATTCCGGCGACTGATGTTGCTGTTTTCCATGGACAGGTAAATGGGATTGCATGTTTTCCCTGCACGTGTTTCCGTAGTACTTTTAAGGTTTGCTTTGCTTCTTTGAAATGCTCACAGCAAGTTTAACACAACTTCTATCGTACTCAAACTATTTGGGTCAGCTCTCTTTAAGAACGTGTGCACATGGGCGTGATCTTTAAGAATCGAAGCGATGCGTGCCAACAACTAACAGTTAGATAGAAGCGGCCAGAAAACATGGCCCTGAGAATGAACGGGGCTCTTGCACATGCGCGCAAACCACCTCGGTCGCGACATCCGACAGTGGCGGGCTCAGAGCGGTTTCAGAGCACGTGCGGAGAGGTTCTAGCCTTTGATTTGTCTATCGTTCTACCGGCGGTTCACTGGTCTGCCTCTTCTAGCCAGCTGGCTGGCCACTGCATCGCCCAAGCAGCAACTCAAGAACGGGGGGTTGCCATATTCCCGTGCCAAATTAGAGATTCCCCCATGACAGCGCCGCATGGCAAGTCGTGCATTTACTCTGAAACTTCACGGACTTCCTCTCATGGCAAACGGCTTCCATGACACTCCGAACAGCTAGTCTCAAGGGGACAAAAGGTTATATAGTAATATATAGTAACCTTTGCACAATAGAATCATAGAGGCTTCAAAAAACAACTGTGATCCTTGGTGGTCCCTGTTGCCTCAAAGAGAAGTTGGGCATCTGCAGAAGAGGAAATGGCCAGCATTTGCCCCGGTCCGGCCATGAAAAGTTGCCCACAAAGGGCAGAATTACGTTACACCGAAAGAGAGATATGTTAAGTGTCAAAAAAGAAGATGGTGCGTTTCTTTGTGCATGTACACATCTTATCCAACTGAGTGTGTCTGTACAGATCTTCACACATGTGTTGCACCCCCTTTCACCAGCCTCTGGCCCACACGTTGCTCGAACATCTCTCCTGGGGCCGCGGTTCCCGAGGCGGTCCGGATCCTGGCGGAGCATTCCTCGGAATCGTTGCAGTGCGCCTTGAGGCCACACCGAGAAACCAACGGTCCCGAACCTCCCAAGGCGTGTGTCTTCTTTACAATGCTGGGTTTCCTTTGGTGTCCCTTTCAGCCGAGGGGGGGAGGGGGGAGGGGGGGGGAAATGCCACCGCTGGAAGGGTTTAGGGAAGATGCCCAAGCGGGATGCCAAGCTATGGGGTAAAGAAGCGGTTCGGACGGAATATGAGTTTGTGTCAGCAAGCAAGCAAGCAAGCAAGCAAGCAAGCAAGCAAGAAAGAAAGAAAGAAAGAAAGAAAGAAAGAAAGAAAGAAAGAAAGAAAGAAAGAAAGAAAGAAAAACATGAAAGACTGAAAAGTAAACAAGCAAACAACACCAAACAAAGATCAACCAAAAAAGAAGACAAGCAGAATAAGATCCAACCCAAATTGTGTTTTGTCTCTTTTTCAACAAAAATGATTGGCCAAGAGATTCGCCCCGAAAGGCTTTGAGTGGCCTTGCGAAAGCCCAGGCGTCTGTCCGCCACCTCTTGGGCCACCTGCTGCACCTCTGCCCTCTCCTCGCAGCTCCGATCCATCCCACCGATCGGATCCAAACTTGCAGATTTGACTTTTTTTGGGGGAAGAAATCAGTGGAATTCACGATCCTGGACAAGAAATCAGTGGAATCAACCCCTAGTGGACAAGGAATCAGTGGATCCGCACTTTTCAGATTCACGAAGACAGAAATCCGCCTTCTGGGGGTTGATTGATTCCTTGTCCATTCTTTTCAACCAGCGTTGTTTGTTGTTTTCAAAAACCGATCGCTGGATCGCTGTGAAAAGCGACAGGTGATCACCTTTTGGCATCTCGAAAAATAGAAACCCGACCATTCTAGAGGTTCATGTCCCATTCCTTTCAACCATCCTTCTCTTCAAAATCGATCGCTCATAGGTGTCCTTTTAGGGGAAATAGATGGGCTTCCCCGGTAGATGATGAAAACACCACCGATTTTTGGTGAACCAGGAATCGCCATGCTATTTTGTGTTTACCAACACAACCAAAAGGGACACCTATGCGATCGCTGTTCCCCGGGGGCTCAACGATGGTTTTCTGAAAAGATTCGGATCCCTGGAATGGAAATGGAAGTGTCCTGGCTTGGGCCATTTCCCAAGCAAAATGGGTGTGGCTCAAAATGAAACAGGGGTTACACAGGCGTTGGTCCGTGACCCCACTTACCAGGGCCACCCATTTTGGAATTCCGGCTTTTTGAGCCACAGCGAAATGGGTGTGGTTCTAATCCATATTTCGTGTGAACTTGGTGGAATTGCCAAAACAATACGCCCTGGCACATTCCGAAGAGCCACCCCCGGAAACCTTCCGGAACCCATTCCGCCGGCGGCTGCTCCGCAGGGAAATGTCAGTTTTTGTCAAAGCGGAGTCGCTTCCGCGACCATTTTGGGCCCGCCCCAAACCCAAAATGGATTTCCATAAAAGCCCAGGAAATCCTTTGCCTGTGGGTAGCTCTGGCATGCGAACCAAAGAAGGAATCTATGGCTGTGGGTCAAAAAATGGGTATCCATCTTGGAACCCTAGTAAATGGAACCAAGGACTTAAACCTGCAGTCGCCTGGTGGTCTAATTTTGACCCATACCCATATCCAGGAATGGGTCGTCCTTGAGCGCGTCCAAAATCACCACGAAGCCCTGCTCTTCCAGGGCCTCTGCGTGTGGTGAAAGCCAAAAGCGTAACCCGAGAAAAAAAAAAAAAAAAAAAAAAAGTTTAGGGTTTAGGGTTTAGGGGAAGAAAAAACAAAAAAAAACGTGGACTTCCCGGAGATCAAATCGTTGTTGTTTTTTGGCGAAAGCAGAAATAACTTGCTGGCTCTGAGCAGGGAATGAGTTGGAATGACCCCCATAAACCATCCCCTATGGTTTCCTTTAATTAAGAGAAGCTTTAGGCTCATTCCCAACACCCTGGGTCATTCCCTACCTGTGGCACCAGCAAAATAAACCCAGGTGATATCCCCCAACAGCACCCCTTCGGAACCCTGGCCCGGAGCCAATCGACCCGAAGAACCCCGAACGAGCTTGTTTGGGTCTATCGACCCGAAAGCTTCCAGCCTGTTGGGGAGGGCTTCGCCTGGCTTCCCGCTTGGAGGTTTCTGGTTTCTCCCTGTAACACCTGGATCACAAGAAACCGTCAAAGGGAGCAGGGATCCTTACATTATACACCTGAACATTGCCTTGTCAATGCTGGTTTCCCTGTATTTTGGTGGGAAAAGCCATGTTTCAATTGGGCAAAATGTATCTTTTAAGGAGCATGGGGAGTTTCCTCGAAAGCATGAGACATTCACGCCCCTGATCCTTGGTTGAGGGAGACCCCTGAAATCGATGGGTGAGGTCTGAGATACAAAGCAAACATCAATAGGCTCCTTTTCACCCACGAGAGACACTACTGCACATGGCGGACAAATCGCCACAGACTGGGGGGGGGGGGGTCCTAAATCTGTTCCCAAATGGAAATGGGGACCGTGTCAACAGGACTCTGGTTCGGTTGGAAAAAGGGTCAATCTCCTCTTTCTTCTTTGAGAGAGGGCTGCACTTTAGACTTCAGACGGGACCCGGCCCTCCTACTTCTCAAAAAACTCATAAGGAACAAATCCATCCCAGGTGCGGGAGCTTGTCCATCAAAAGTAGCTGCTCTTTCAGGGGCCGCTGGATTTCTGCAATCTACTGATCGTTTCGATTGAAACAAAGATGGAAATGGCGCGCAAACCCTGTACCCTCGAATAACCACAGGCCCATAAAGGCGTTTCTCAAAATCAGGGCACTGGATTGAATACGCAGGGATGAGAACCCATCAGGACCCGTTTTCATTTCAGGGGAATCCTCTGATCACTTTGGGGGCGCTACACTCCTTTTTTGCATCCACCGATTCGGTCTCGTCGAATCCGGAGCCTTGGACGCCTCCAGGAACCACCCCGCGGTGCCGGAGCCCGGCAGCAGGCCATCCGACCCCGATCCTCCCGAATTTCGAGCCGCGGGCGTTTGCCAAAGTCAGTGGTTCATGGCCAACCCACGTTCAGGCTCCAACTCAAAAACTCATCACCATCTGGGTATGGCTCAAAAAACCGGAATTCCAAAAAGGAAGCCTGGCAAGTGGAAACATGGACCAAAACCTGCCGTAACCCTAGCTCTTTAAGTCTGCCATCTTTAAGTCTAACCCTTCGAGCCGTTCAGCGCGAAGCTTCCGAAAAAACTCCGCCCTGGAGCCCTGGACTCCGGGCCCGGAGCTTGCAGCTGGAACCGCGCACTGCACAGGGCGTCGCGTGCTTTTTTGAGAGCCCGCAAATGCTGGCCTTCGCTTGGGTCCTCCCACCAATTCAAATGGGACCCCCAAAAAAAGAAAGGGGATCCCCCAAAAGGGCACCCCAAAACAAAGAAGGAGAAAAATAAATAGAAAGAAAAAATGATGGAAAATAATGAAGAAGAAAAAAACGAAACAACGTTGACGGAAGCCGCCTGCGGCCTCCGTCGTCGTCTTCCAGGCGCCCGCCAGACCTTGCCGCCCGGCAGCCTCCGCCGGGCTGAGGCCTTCCTCGGTTTTGCTTTTGTTTTGATCAAACATCTGGGCGCCAGCGGGGATCCTTGCAGGGGTGGTATCCCGGGGTTGAGTGCTTGGAATCAGACCACTTTTGGACGGGCCCCCACCCCCCTATAAATAAACAGGTGTTGATTACTTGGGGCCCAGATGTAGGGATCCTCATTATACACCTGAACATTGCCTTGTAAATGGTGGGGTGCATTTACTTTGGTGGTGAAAATGCAACATGTTTCAAATGGGCAAAATGGAGATCTTTGAAGGAGCCCTGGCCAAGCTGCGCTTTTACTCGGTGGGCCACCTGCGCCTCTCGTCCTATGGTGGAGGTTGTCGAGAATAGAGACCCAACACGGCTGGGAAACCCCAAAGCTCGGATGCTTTCTGCTCCCCTGCTGAAAAAGTTTAACTTTTAGTGGTTTAATTGGAAAACCCATTAGTTGGCAGCTAAAAGTGACTACCTTTTAGTGGTTTAATCGGAAAACCGACTCATTAGTTGAAAAAAAGCTGAAGTCCTAACATCCAAGCAACATGCACCAAAGTTTTCTCAGACCCGTCCAGGGCTACATCTAGGTAGAAACCCTTCTTGGCCAAAGCAAAAACCAATCCTTTTCAGGCACCCTACGTTGCTTTGAGGCCATTGCTTTCTGCACCTGATTCTCTCTGATTGAATTTTAGCACGCTGCATCCGGGTGTTGAAGGTTTGAAGTGCTTTCTGAAAGTTGGTTTATAAAAGCCGTGGCCTAAGATTGATTCACCATAACGCCCGTATTGGCAACTTCATTCATCTGCCACTTACTGCAATTCACCAAGGAAGAAACCTTCCTGGGTGAGCTTGGTTTGTCCCACCCCCCCCCCCACTGCGCACTATGCGTTCTGCGAACTTGTCCCTTGTTCCTATATTTCTGTTGATGTGAGTCACAACCAAAACCGGCCAACCGGCAAGAAAAGAAGGAAGGCGCCCAAACAACTCAGGGAACGACAGCTTCACTGCTGGCTACGTCTGATTTTAAGTCTGCCGACCTGGGATTGATAGGAACCAAAAAGCCGCCCTCAGAATATCGTGCACGCAACCAGTGACAAAGAACAAAGGCAAGATGCCAAATGAGCCACTGCGGAGCCAAGTATGCAAATATTATGAGCAAGAAAACACCAAACAAAAAACGGACCTGCTAGAAGTATCAACCAAACTTAGCCTGACTTGGTTGAAAGGAAACATGAAGTGAAACCCACAAGGGCGGAAGGACCTTTAAAACGTCTGTTAAGTCTGACAATGCAAGAAGTAACCGAGTGAGATGCTCACCAAAATGGATGCCCAACTGCCACCATCTGTGAAGCGGCTCGACCGGGGCGGGCTCATCTCTTTGCTGCTGTCGGTGGGGCATCCCTTGCGAAGAACTTGTGAGGGCCAAGGGTGGAAAGCCTTTTTTTCAGGGAAATATGCTTTTATACCCCCTTATGTACCCATTTAATATTTGAACAACTGTGGTACATTGCAGACATCATTTGTGGGATGGGGTCCAAAGTTGCAATCAAATCTGAGGACCATCGCATCAAAGCAGGTCAGGACTCCAACAAGGATCAAAACACCTTTCAAACGGCCACTTGCACAGGCCAACTGCTCCTTGAGTAGTTTCTGCCCACGTTTCGCGCAAAAGTGATAAACTCCGTGCTTCAAAACAAAAGGAACCTCCTCCGAAGCGCAGCGGATGCAGTCTGCACCAAAAAGAAAACATGTCCCTTCGCACTAAGGCAGGCAGATCCCCCAACACGTCGGCGGCCAAGCGGAGCGAGGCGCCGCAAAGAAGCGGCAGAGCCTCTCCCCGCTCACCACGAAGGGATGCGCCTCACGAGAGTTCCGATCCGCGCGTGGACAGTTTCGCCGCAGGCTTCGCCGGGGGCTTAGCCGGGGGCTTAGCGGCCGAAGGGTTCAACCCGTGGTCTTTGCCAGGGACTGACTCTTATGGTTGCCAAGGGCCTTTCAAGAGGGTATATAGAAACCAATAAGGCCTTTTTCGAGGCTAGTAGGCGTCTTTTTCGGGGGGGGGCCCTGTTTGGGGGGCCACTGAGAACCATGTTCAACCCCGCCTCTTTGAAGGTGCCCCACCCCCCAAAAACCCATCGATCAGCGCGGGTTGCACAAACCGCGGCTGTCGGCCGCCAGCCTTCTGTGCCTTGGAGACTGCCGCCGCGGACTTTAGGAAGCAGCGGCCCCGCAGCTCCGAGCTCAGCTCTGGGGCATGCACCTCGTTGAGCCCGGGGGGGACAAAACATCGCCTTCCCGGCCGCAAACCGCTTGGCTCATTTCGTTTGTTGTTGTCAGGTTTAGTTGTTGGTTTGGCTTGGTTTGGGTAGCTTATTGGTGTAATTTGCTTGTTTACCCTCCTAACAATGGAAGTGGATAGGGAGGTGCATTAGCAAGAAAGTGGGACACTTCCCAGCTGTCAGCTTCCATTCTTGGAGGGAGGGTAACTTTTGTAGGCTGGCTTTGGTTTGGTTTGGTTTCTTTGTGCATCAGTGTCGTGTTCTACTTGGCTTGGTTTTGGTTGGTTGGTTGGTTGGTTGGTTGGTTGGTTGGTTGGTTGGTTGGTTGGTTGGTTGGTTGGTTGGTTGGTTGGTTGGTTGGTTGGTTGGTTGGTTGGTTGGTTGGTTGCTTGGTTGGTTGGTTGGTTGGTTGGTTGCGTGCTTGCTTGCTTGCTTGCTTGCTTGCTTGCTTGGTTGCTTGGTTGGTTGGTTGGTTGGTTGGTTGGTTGGTTGGTTGGTTGCGTGCTTGATTGCTTGGCTGATTGCTTTGCTTTGCCTTGCCTTGCCCTTGCCTTGCCTTGCAATTGCCTTTCCTTGCCTTGCAATTGCCTTGCCTTGCCCTTGCCCTTGCCCTTGCCTTGCCGTGCCTTGCCTGCTTGCTTGCTTGTCTGTGTGTGCTTCATGTATTTCTGCTAGCTTGGTGACGTTGCCTGCTTCATTGTTTGTTTGTGCGTGTGTGTTTGTCCACTAGCTTGTCGGGTTACTGGTTTGCTGGTGTCTGACGACTTGTTGTGCTTGTTACTGTGTTTGTGTGTGTGTGTGTGGGTGTGTGTGTGTGTGTGTGGTGCATTGTGTGTGTGTGTGTGTGTGGTTTTGCCTTCTTTCTTCCTTCCTTACTTCCTTTCTTCCTCCTTCCTGCCTGCCTGCCTGCCTGCCTTCCTTCCTTCCTTCCTTTCTTCCTTTCTTCCTCCTTCCGTCCTGCCGTTCTTTCTTTCTTCCTTTCTTCCTTTCTTCCTGCCTTTCTTCCTTTCTTCCTCCTTTCGTCCTGCCGTTCTTTCTTTCTTCCTTTCTTCCTCCTTCCGTCGTGCCGTTCTTTCGTTCTTTCTTCCTTTCTGTCTTTTGAAGTACTGGTCTCAGTTTGTCCAAAAGCCACTTCGGGGAAGATGGAGAGTGTAGGGAAGATGACCGCATCCCTGGCATCACCAGCATCATTTGGACCTCTACGCTCTGGTCGCTCTTTTTGTCCAACGCCCTAAACCAAATGATGCTGGCGATGTCGAGAATGCTGCATCTCTCGGCTCGCTGCGCACTGCAGGACTCACTTGGAAGCAAACAAGGCGGCCGCCGATTGATTTGCCGCCCCCAGAAACAAAAGGCCTGAAAAGGGGAAGCGCCCTTGAAAATAGCTACAACTACCCCTGGTTCGCAACAAGTGTCCAATCCCAAGAAACATGGTTGCCTCCCTTTACAAACTCCCACCCAAACCACGAACGCCGGAGGCGCCAGGTAGGTCCAGTACCCGCACTCCGCGCTGGCCTGGCAGAGGTGGCGGCACTGCACCCCGGAGACCGCCTCAGCCACTGCCAGGTCTTGCCCCACCGAGTCCTCGCCCCAGCGATAGCAGTCCTCACGGATGAAGCCCCACGAGGCAGTGGGGATGGATGGGTCCAAGGTGGGGGTGGGGGGGAGGTGCAAGGGGTGGACGTGGAGGGGTGGAGGTGGAGGGGACGGGGTGGGGGCATACCGAAGGACAGGAAGTTGGAGCTTCATGGATGTGCCCTTTGTCAGACTTGAGATTGTTTGCTTCGTCTTAGTCACCAATGACCTCCCGACGAGTGTGGCTGTCAGTGCAATAGTGATTAATGAATTTCAATGTCCATAAAACTGGATGGCCGAAACTCAGGGGGAAGGCGGGAAAAACGAAAAGAGATAAACAGGGGCGAAGCGAAGAAAGTTCGAGGCCGTCGAGTCGGTCTCCGATCGCTTCGCTTCGAACGGCATGAACTTTCAACGCCGCAAGTCCTCGGCGCCGTCGCGAGCGCAGCAATAGGCAAATGTCCACAAGCCGTGGCCCCAGCAGTGGAAATTGGCCTCACGGAGAAATAGCCAAAGCCGCCCCTCTATCTTCCAACCCTTGGTGTATTTACACAAAACTTTGCATTATTGCAGCCCCGGACTAAAAATGCAAAGAACAACCAGAAACTAAAAACAAAAAAAGCATGCCCAACAAGAGTGAACAGTCAAGCCATCCAAGAAGGTTCTCAGAACTCAAATCCAAGAACCGTTCGGGGGGGATGGTCCTAATGCCTCTCCTGATGAGAACACACACACACACACACCCTTGACATGTGTGCGTCTTGGGAAATGGGGAGGGAATCTGGCAGTCGGTCCACGCTCCGGGAGCAACCTTCCAATTCACTGCTTGCCAATTCCCTTTCCCAAAACTAGCCATCCAGAACCCTTTTCCAAAAGATGCCCCTTCCCCTTGAAAGTCTTCTCCCGCTTCGAATTTCTCCCGGAAGCACCTTCAAGCGAGGCCAACTGCTTCAGTCTTCAAAGAACTTGGTCAACGTTCAACCCGATACCTGGAATGCGCAACGATTTTCCTTGTTCATCGCTTTAGGCAAACATTATGGTCCAATGCCTTTCCAACCCTTGGCGCAGTAGCAAAAACGATTTTGGTTTCTTTGCAACCCCAACTAAAAAAGAACAGAACCCCCAAAAAAAACGCAAACCCAAGAAACATAACAGAACCAAGACTACTAAAAAAACAACTAGCCAACAGCAGTGAAGAATACCCTGGCCCAAAACCCAAGCCATCCTCTTCACCTGGCAACCTTCGCGCCTTGTCCTCGCAACACGCGGCCTCTGGGCACCTGGGATCTGCCGCTCCCGGAACCGCCGGCAGCGCCAGCGACACGGGAAGGAGGCAGGCGCAGAACGCACGGGACATGAGGTCCCTGTGGGCCAAAATATGTACCCCCAAATTGAAAACCCTGGGAAAAATGGAACAACTCCTGGTGCTTGAATTTTGACCCACACCAAGAAAGCCTGGTGAATGGACACAGATTCATAGAGGGGTGTCCCCGTAGTGGGGGTTGAACCACACTGAAACAAGTGGTCGGATGCGTAGACACGAGCATCAGATGTGAGAGGGCGATCTTCAGGTGTGCCCAATTGACATGGGATTTAAGCCACCCAATGACAATTTGCGGGAATTTCCCCAATGCAATCCGCAAAAGGTCGATTGACCGTTTCTCCTTTGAAAATTGGCTGCTTCAGGCCATGGAAAGTGCGGCAAACAAGGCGCTCTTTACATATAGACTTGCAATAAGCAAATGGACGTGCATTGTTTGAGGGCACCCTTGTTTGGGTTGTCAAAGGGAAGCCAAAGGAAAGTGAGGCCTATTTGGGGCCTCATTTGGAGACAAAGTCCTATGAGGTGCAAACTTTGAAGACCAAAACCCTTTTTGTTCCCTTGTTCCAAGGACCCGGAGAAATGGTCAACTCTTTGGGACCTGACACGGGCCAAAAATCAGAAAAGCGAAAGGTTCAACTCGCCGAGTGAGAAACACCATGCTAACTATGGCAAGCCAATCCATGGCTTGAGCCAACGGCAACAGAACGGATCCTATGCCACAATTTGCTTCCAGTTGTAATAAACCGAGGAGCACAAAGGCTGCGGGAACCTATGGCGCCACTCGTAGCAAGGCCCGGGCGCGGTGCGGGTCAAACTGGTGAACCCCTTTTGGTTGACATTCAAACCGCAAAGGGTCGGTTCACTGATGGTCTGAAAATCCTCATGAAGGGTTGAGGAGTAGCCTCCCAGAATTGTGCAAGCAAAGGAAGCTTGAGAAACCATAAACCTTGTAAACACGAGTGTAATTAGGGTGATCCTTGTTGCTTGCCAAGATTCCATCAGTTTGCCCCAAATCGGGATCCAGAACAAGAGAAGCCATAGCCAGTTGGTAATTAGGGCCTCAAATAAGTTGCGCTCTTGCGATTTCGGAATCCACCAGATGCCCTCCATGAAGCTTGTCCCAAGCCCTCTTTGCGTGGATTATAGCCTCAGGATGGCCCCGAGGAAACCCGGCGCCAACTTTCCACCCTTATGGTTTACACCATGGGTATTCCCTTAGTCCTCCAAGTGGGTGTTAACAGCGTTTCTCCCCAAACCCTGTCACCAAAAAAGAAAAAACAGGCCCTGGAAAAGGAAAAGGCAAGCTAAAAGGCTTCCTTCTTCCAAGTCTCTGCCCAAATATGGCTTGGCCATAGTCTTGAGCTTCGCGCCATGTAAAGCTCCATATCCACCAAGCCTTTCGCTTCAACGCAAAACCATTCACCTGGAACCCAAGTTGCCTTCAAATCCCGGGGTCCGAGCTCTTCGAGGCTTCCTCCGTTGTCTGTTATTTTTTGAAAACATATATATATATATATATTATATATATATATTTATTTATTTATTTATTTATTTATTTATTTATTTATTTATTTATTTATTTATTTATTTATATTTATACATAGTCGTTAAATATATATATATATATGTATTATAAAAATCCGAGTTGCAAGGGTCCCGGGGATCCCTGTCTTCGAGGCGTCCGAGCCGATTGTTTGGTACATCCGAGCTGCGAAGCGGCCCAGAAGAAGCCCCGAGCCGTACATGGCCAGCGTGGCGAAGGACGTGAGGGCCGTGTCCACGGAGCCTCGCAGAGGGATTTTTTGGCTCGCGATGGGATCGGTGGATCGGTCGGGCGGGCGGGCGCCGGTTTTTTTCTTTCTTGTGTGTGTGTGTGTTTGTGTGTTTTGTGTCGTTTGTCTAAAAGTGGTTGGTGTTTTTGCTTTTGGTGTTTCTGAGTTGCATTTTTTGCTCTGAAGATTGCACATGGTTGGTGGTTTTGGTGTTGTCCTAAGAAGTACTGGCTTCACATGGCTGTGCCAGGGAGATTCAACAAAATTAGGTGGGTCCTTTTGGTTTCCCTGCTACCTTCTGGATTTGGATGGTGAATCCCTCAAGAATGTTCAAACCAACCACTTTGATCACCCAATTTTGAGACACACCCATTCCTGTGGCAAATGAATGGTTCTCGTAACATCGCCCGAAACTGAGTGGCTCTTTCTCGCTTTTCGTTTTGAATCATCCAAACTGACTCACCCAACACGATGGTCCCCTAACAAATGGGCAGTTTCCTCTCGGCTTCACTTGAAAACCACCATCCAAGAAGGGATTCGGGCAGCCATTTGGAAGTGGTTGCCCCTCTCTATGATAACCAATGTGGCAAACGAAGCGCTAGATGCCCAGCCAGTCACAATAACTTTCTGATTTTCTCGAGAGACTCGCCCATAAGTTGCTATCCTGAAGCAACGGTTTCCCGAATCATACTGAGAGCTTCCCTCTATTGGTGGTTTGGATTGCTGGTGTGTCGGGGTTCCCAGTAACCGGGGTGGTGATTTCCCACTTACCTACCCTCAAGAACCAGGGACCCGTTCAAATCCCCAAACCACTCCAAGCCACCAATTTCGTGGCATCCGACTTTTGCCGCCTCGAGAAGAAAAAAACGTGAGCTCAAAGCTCAGAGTGCGCCTTACCCCGTGAAGATTTTTGGGTACCCGGAGGAGCCTCTGTAGCACGCATTCTTCTTCTTTGTGCATGGATTCAACCATTTGTTGGCAACACCAACATCCAGCAACACAAACCACCAAGTGCAATAGCCAAGCCTACCTCCACTCCCACTCCCTGAAAAAAGCATCAAAGTCACAAGAACCCTTTGCTGCCCTGTGGTTGGTGGAAAACGCCGTTTGGGAAGAAAATGCCCAAACCGACTGAAATGCACCAGTTGGCACCCCTCATATGTCTTAGGCTGGTGGCTTGGGACATGGAACCCTCAGAAGCAAAGAAACAACAAAAACCCCCTTTAGTCACTCACCCCCAACTAAACCAGTCTTGGATGGAAAATAACGAGTGTTTCCCGGCTTTTTCATGACGACCCGATTTCTGACTGACGCCCCGGTTCCCGTTCCCCCTCTCCGGCCTATCGCTGAGCGGTGCCGAGCGTCGGCCAACTCCTCGCAAAAATTCGACTGGGTGCCTCCCAGAATTGGAAACACAATTGGCAATGGACCCCCCTTTCTGCTTTTGTCGGCATCACTTTTCTTGACAGTGCCCCCTCAGAAAGTCAGAACCCCCCTCCCCCGCCCAAAAAAGAAAGAAGACAAAGTGTGGTTCTCACCCCCGAAAGCAAAGGAAGCGATTTTGGCGCATACCTACATACCAATGTCCAAAGATTGAGGATCCCTTCTTGAACGGTTCCAGGAAACCAACCGAAAATCACCCAACAAGGTGGGGATCCTTCAGGTTTTGCAAAATACACCTGCATGGCAATGACCAGCACATCTGCGCATTTACAGCCGGGGAACGCCTGGGTTGCTGGGAGGCGCAGAGGCTGACGCTCCAAAGCTACACCTGACCAAAGGGCCGCAGTTTGACTCCAAACTTCTGCAAGCACGGCGCTTGGTTCCCTTCGAGCTCGAGCCCCCAGAGCGGAAGCTCGGCACATGGAACGCCTCACCGCGACCCGTTCTGGGTCGGAAGGCCCGTTCTGGGCGGAAGATGCCAGGGTTGGGTGGAATACCGAGAAGGAAGTTCGGCTGCCCGGGATACTCTGATTGCAACAATCGCAACCTGTGAAACATATGGATGTTGCCATTTGTTGAGCGGCAGTTTGCACAAATTCCTACCCAACCGCTTTCCTTCAACTTTCGAAGCCTCGGAGATTGCCCGCAACACCGAGATTGCTGACCCCACAATAATCCCCCATAAAAATCAACCCCAGTTCATTACCAGGGGGTGTCCATTTCTGGGTTTAGTGGGGAATCAGACCACTTTTGGAGGGGACACCCCCTATGAATAAACTGGTTGGTTGATTTTTTTGGGGGTTCAACCTTGCCCCAGATACGGGTTGCTTCATCCTGGATCAACCTTCTGGAACGCAACCTACGTCTCCTGCTCCGTGTTCAGCACTCCCAGCTCAAAGCCATACAACCCTGGCCGCGCCAAACACCTCGGAGCGCTCAGTCTCCGAGACCTGGCCCCTGTTTTTCACTCGAAAGGCTTCAATGATCAAATCACGGCACGAAAACGGCGTACCCAGACATCATGCTTTGAAGGGCGGCATTGTGTGTGGTTGGGAGTGTCCCTTAACCTTGAAATAACCAGCCAGAGCGAATTGCAGGGCATGCTGGTGATGCTGGTGATGCAGGGGATGCGTCACCCGCATCGCCCGCATCACCGGCATCAACTAATGAGGGGCTTGAAGCAGGGGTTCAAACCCCCAAACCATCAATCCAAACCACCCATGAGTGACATACATTCCTTCCCAACAGCTGGGCTAAGTGGCGTGCTTCGATTCATTGACTTGGCTCGGTGTACCCCTCATTTGCTCATCAGCGCTCTCTTTCCTTAGTTTATGAAGCCGTCTGTTTTGCCAAGACACACGGCCGACATGAAGATCAGCAGAGGCCAGGTGAGCCCCCGCCCCTCCACCTTGGAAACAATCAAGTCCAAGGCAATTCACAAAAACTGGAGGCCAGCCATTCCGCGAAAATCAAAACCGAAAACTTCGACAATCCACAGTTTCCCCGGACGGAGACCTCCCCTGCATGTTGCATCTCCCGCGAGGCTCCGGATCACTTGATCGGCAGGAAACAGCCCCGCACAAAGGTTGTACTGGCTTCCGCGGCTCCGTGAGCAAACCACCGAGCCACATGTTGGTTGCGTGGGGAAAAAAGTGAGAGCAGAAACACGAGGGCCACAAGCCTTCCTGGTGCTCCGCAGGGAACGAGGGAATGACCCCTCTAAACCATCCAACTGGTGGTTTCCCTTAAGGGGACCCCTGGGTTCATTCCCACATTCCCCATCGCACCGATCGCAAGACCAGCGGTTGGAGAACCCCTTGCTTGAGTCTACCCGATCGCTCGCTCGGCTTCGCCTGGTGGTAGGCGCTCAGCGCCAGGAGGGTCATTCCCGCCAGCCACAGCACGAAGAGACCATCCCCGCAGCGGCCAAGGCGAACGCTGGCGGAGGAGTGCCTCAGAAGGCGGAAAGCCAAGACGGGCTGAAGGTTTCCATACGAGTCGTGTCAGAAAAGCCCTCGAAAACTCACGGTCTCTCCTTTTGGCTTCGCGAACTATATGACTTTAAAGGGTACCCTCGAAAATACATCTCGATTCCTGCGCCTGCCAGCCCCCCTTCTCGTCCACGAGCAATGTATGACGGGTTTTGCCCCTAAGAAAACCCACCATGGGTTCCTAGCCCAACTCAGGGCGATTCCCCAGCCCATTTGAGGATAAATCCTCCTCTGAGCGATTTCAGGGTCTAAACAATTGCAAACAGCATTCTCCCATTGCAATTGAAATTGGTATCGAACCTTACAAGCCCGTTCTAGATATTGAAGGCCCTTGTCCAACCCAAAAATATCAGTTTGCATTCTGGTCCAAATAACCCTGATAAAGAGATCACAGTATATACCAGTAGCATTGTAGCAGGCCAGCTTTTTGTTTGGGAGGCCCCTGCTCCAAGAAAAACCCAGCTCAACCCTAGGGAAATCCAAATATCATCTTCGTTTGGGTCTCTGGCCTTGAATGTCAACCGTTCTCCCAAAATAGTTGGCTTCATGGTGGTGCCCGTTTCAAACCAACCAATTTGTGCCCCAGAATCAGCAGATGATATGCTCCTTTTCAGTATGATAGCGATATTTTCCGTCTACCCGGACATATAATCCACAGGGGATGCACCCCCAAAATCTCGGACGGCCGAAAAATGGAAAAACCCGAAGGAAACCAACCAGCGGAGTCCACGATTTGAAGACAATACCGCGGATGGTTGCGACATCTTGCACCACCGAACTCAGAAACCCTGGTGTCTGATTCAACTCCTCGACGGAAATACCAACAAACGATGGTTTCAACCATAGATTCAACAAATGGGGCTCATTTCCGACAACGCGGATGAAGGACTTCATGTTAAGGAGAACAATCAAGATCAAAGTATGCAACTCCCAAGGCACCACGGTAGCAATCGACAGACCCATGCGCTCAAACACTGTTTTGAAGGAGACTTTCAGGGGGGTCACCAAGAAGACGCGCCACATTTGTTGCCCATGTTTGAAAAGCCCCAAGAAAACACTCAATTGAGTCATCTGCGTTGGCATTTGTTGAACCTATGGTTGAAACCAGAAGGTTTGTTGGTACGAGGAATCAGAAACCCCGGGTTGAGGGAGGAGAACCCCCGGAAAACTCCCCGAAATTTCCCCGACATTGGACACACGGCACATGGAGCTTCCCACGCCAGGCCGCGCCATGACGCCCAGCACGCCCAGCAGCGCCCCAGCACCCCTGGCGCGGTTTTTCGCTCGCGAACAGCGAGCCGTGGGAAACGGACGAAGATGGGTGTGGCATTCAAAATCAAAGAGCTAGGGTATGCAGGTTTAGTTTTTGTCTCCATTTACCAGGGTTCCATTTTGGGTATTCCACAGCCACATGGAGCCCAGAAAGGGGTTCAGCGTTTTAGAGGAATATCCGTTTAGAGGATTCATCCTTCACGTGCTTTTAGATGAATTACCCGCACCCCCCCCCAAGTTGGGCTGGAGGCGATTTTGCAGGGGAGAAAAGAAAGAGCCAAGGTTCCCACACCCATTCAAGAAAGCTGAGGCCCGTGCTATTTTCGGTTGGGGCTTCAAGTCCGATTTGAGAAACTGTCTTTTTCAGGGAGGGCCCTTTTTGTGGTGGAAGGAAAACCACCCTAGAAGCCAGCGACGTGCGAAGGGACGCCAAGGGGTCGAACCTAAGATCCACTCGCTCCGGAAACGGAACAGCCGGGGACAAGCACTGGGTGAAAAGGTCGCCCACAGTTCTTGCATCACTCCGGGTTCTCCAACAAATCCTGCTCAAGTTGTTTCTAATGCACCTCAGGGGAGGGTTCACCTGCCTCATTTGAACCCACAGGCTCGAGTCGCGACACCAACTCCCCAGCGGCCTCAGCAGGGAAAGTTGCCAACTGGGCACGCCTTGCTGTGCCAAGTGGGCAGTGAGGAAGGCCCCATGGGGCGACAGCACCGTGAGGTAGAGCAAGGAGTAGGAGAGGCCCAGGAACCTCTCGATGGGTATGGTTTGAAGGTGTTCCATGCTCTCAAGAGCCATGCTTGCGGGAATGTGGCGCATGTCTGCGATACCATTTAGTGGGATGTCCGTCATGACAATCTTATCACTTGAAAAGGGGCCTCTCAAAGCGATATCACCGTTGATTCCCAGCCAAGGACCATTGCATCATCGGGTTTTCTAGTTGAGTGCCCGAAACCCGAGCTGATTGCTGGTTCTGCCGCAGTCATGAAGGTTGATTCTAGCTCTGACCCCAAACCAACCGAACCACCTACCAAAATGGCCTCAACTGGGACCCTGAAACTCGGCTCCCCGTCTTTTTGTTGCTCCTTTAAAAGCATCCAATGGGTTCCCTAGTTTCACACAGACGCGCTCGGCTTGTGTTGAATGCGCGCCTTGCCTTTGTGAATTTGAAAGCCGAGCGAGGCCTGTTTTTGTAGAATGAAACGTCATCGACGCGGTGTTGGAAAATTAGGAGTACAAATTAAGCTCAATGCAAATAGCGAAAATGCCGTGACGGAATACAAAGCCCCAAACTGTTCCAAGGTCCTCAGCGAAGTGTCGAATACGTCCACCAAAGTGAGATCCCTAAAAATGACCTGAATACCCTCCCCACCTCAAAAATGGGGTTTAAATCAACCCCCCCCCCGAACCCACCTCCACCATTTTTGGGTTTACCCGATGTTTCACTGCACCTGGGCCACAATCAAAACCCGGCTAGATGAAGGTTAGTAAGGGACAATCCCAATACATAGCTGCGGCCTTCTTAAATCTTTACATGGTTCTGGGTAGACCATTTTCATACCGGGCTAATTATTAGGGGGAAGAGATTACATGGTTCTGGGTAGACCATTCTAATGCCAGGTTTTGGTTGTGACTCACCTACTGGTGCCATCTGTGTCGCATCCGAGCCGCTGGATGCCGCTGGGGTGGTGCAGCCAGGCAGTCCAGGCGCCGCCCTGAGCTGGACCAACATGGCGCAGCCGTTTTTGTTTTTGTTCCCCCCTCTTTCTTTTTTTTTCGGTTTGTTTGGTGGGTCTTCAAGGGGAAACCAAATTGAAATCGGCCATTTCGGGAGGGGGGAGGGAAGGTCTTCAAGGGAAACCAAATTGAGAACGGCCATTTTTTTGGGGGGGGGGCTCGATTCCTAAAAAAAGACACACCCGCGATAAATCTTGAAAACGTGTTGGAAGTGGCGAATCTGTGGATCCATTCCTGGAGATTAAAAGACTAGCAAAAGACTACAAAAACAAAAATGGGACCAACAAAAGGAAGACGAAATCCACCCCTGTTTCGACCCATCCAATTTGGAGTCTGGAGTTGAGGTCGCCCGTGACAGGGTCAAAAAAAGCGCATCCAAACCGTTTGCGAGAATGGAAGCTCCCAGGCCTCTGTAAATGCAAGTCTTCCAAAGGAGTCCTGGGAGCGTCCATGGTCGGTACAAAATGCTGGCCAAGGAGATTGGTGGGAAATGACCCGAAAACTGTGAGAATGTTGACCCCTGATTAATCAAGGGACCTTCTTGGGGATTTGTTTCAGGGGGCCATGATTGCTTCACTCCAATAGCGACCCCAAAGCAAACCAGCCCTTGCCGCCAAAATCCGACTGGGGCCGAAGGAAGCTCGGACCCAAGGGGGAAAAAAGAAACAAGGGCTCTGAGGTTTCTTTGTTTTATTTTTGCTTGCGCAAGGGGATGCATCGTCTTTGGGACGCAGCAGAAGTTGGAGAGTTTTCAGAAATTCGGAGTTTTTTGACAACCCCTCACAAAGTGCCCTGCATACATGTCTTGTAGCCTGGTCTTTGTCCAGAATGAGAAGTCAGGCGTCACCTGCAGCATGTGCCACTTGCTCCGGGGGGATTGGCGGTTTGGAAGTTAGGATGGCTTGCCCCTTTGGTTTTACCAAGGGCTCGAAACCGTAAAAAAAAGTGGCCTGAAACTTGAAGCAACGCACAATATGCATCTTTTAACAGGAGTGCGCAATTCCCTGTTTCCTCTTGGTGATTGGTGAGTGTACGATGACTGGCCGGGAAGCTTTTCGGATGGAACCAGGGAAAATCCGATATGGCTTAAGAGATCCTGATTGAAAATGCCAAGATCTTTGAATGCATGACACCTTAAAACTTGACCGACCGATGAAGGATTCCCGCATAAGCAAGCAAATCCTGCCTTGCCTTAGGTCTGGAAGCCCATTTTATTTTGGGAAGGACACCTACCCTCCCACCAACTAACATGGAACCTGACAGGGGGGTCCTGGAAGATACCTTTCCTTTTAAAGGGACCCCTGTCAGGTTCCATGTCAGTTGGTGGGAGGGTATCCTTATAAGAAGCCTTTTATCTTATTTTTGGGGGGGGGACGCCGCCTATGTTGAGACCAGCCTTGAGCACCAGAGGGTTGGCCTTGCGCTGCACCTGGCGTGGGCGTGGCCCAAACCACCGCCGAAATCAAGCCGCGGATTTCGGTGAAGTCTGGGAATCCCTTCCCCCTAATACCCCCCCCCCTATTCTATGTGTTTTTTTTTTTTTTTTTAAGGAGAAAAACAAATCTTCCCGGCAAGTCATGTGTTATTCTTAGGGAGACCTTTATCAAGAGGGGGAAGAGACTGTTTTTGCCAGGGCGTGCATCAAAACCAGGGTATTCTTGTTTACCAACTGTGAACTGGCAAGTACTTTTTGCAGCATGATTTATCCTGGTTGGAAGCACGAAAGAAACCAGGACCCAAATGCTTAAAAAGAGCCGTATGCACTTCTCAAGAACATTGGGCCAGGTCCAAGCCGACCGATGGCGAACCCGTCATAGCATTGGGCCCAGTGGAAAATACCAACCCACCCTCTCCCTCCTGAGAACCTCTGCCTTCCAGACTCTCCCAGAATTCATCAGCGCTGAGCTGATGAATTGGCGTATCACCCATCCTAGACCCTTACTAATCCGCAAGCTTCTGCTTGAATCCACTGTCCGAATGAGTGCCTCAACACTTTCTTCTTGACTTCCCATTGAGGACATGGGTATGAATCGAAAATGGATGCCCTGTGGGCAGTCGGGGATTTTACAACCACAACCACGAACTGTGGAACGCCAAATGGGACCTGTGTCGGATGCCGATCCAAAAGGGGTCCCGAGATGGATGGTTCACCTATGGAGTTTGGATAGGGGGTGTCACATTAGGATAGGATCCGGATTTGTTGTTTGGATTACGTACTTCTTGGGGAAGTTGCATCCGCTTGCGCGGGTTGTCTTTTAATGGGACCCCCCCCCCGCAGAGAAAAAAAAGGGGGATTGCAAAGTCGTTTCCCATGACCCTTATAAATCCACCCACTGATTGAATCCAGAGTCGACATGACTTCCGTGCGAAATAACATGGAACCCAAAAAACCATCATCTGCTATTGGGTCCCAGACTCAGGACCCCTGCTTGGGTTTAGTTTGCAGGGGAGTCAATGCCCCACAACCCCATTCTAGTCATTTCAGCCCTTGTCTACCTCAGTATGTCCCCCCAAAACCCCTGCACTAATAACCACAAGGCCAGCTGCAGCCAGCACACATGCAGTGCACTGACTGCAGCCAGCCCCATCCCAGACACAGAATGCATCAGGCATTCACTTCTTGGAAGGGTGGGTGGGTGGGTGGGTGGGTGGGTGGGTGGGCGGGCGGGTGGGTGGGTGGGTGGGTGGGTGGGTGGGTGGGTGGGCGCTTTTGACAAGCATTCCTACCACAACCCAAACCTTGCTGCTTGAGCTGCACACATACAGAAGAAGCAACAAGCCAACAACATTTACTGGGGCAAGGCAGAAGCATAAGAGTTTGAGCGGTGCACTGGTCGTATCCCAGCCCACCCCAGCGCACCCCCCTCACCCCAAAAAGCGGCTTGGCTCTGGTGCATAAGCTGCGCTTTGGACACTTCGAGCACTCACGCCGGCGCGCCTCCTCCGCTCGCAGGGGCTGAAGCTTGGCCTCCCGCGCCGCGAAGATCTGCAGCAGGAGCCGCAGCTGCGGCAGGAAGGAGGCCGCGTTCAGCAGCCTCTGCCAAGCTTCCGAGCCGAGAGCGTTCAACCGGTTTGGCTCGTTTGGTTGGTACGATCGTGGTTTGGCGCGTTTTTCAAGTTGGCTGGTCGGTTGGTGGGACGGTGGTGGGTCAGTGGAAGCTGGCTGGTTGGGGGCGGTGGGGAGGTTGGTTGGTTGCTTGCTTGTTTGCTTGGTTGCTTGGTTGCTTGGTTGGTCGCTTGGTTGCTCGCTCGCTGGCTTGCTTGCTTGCTTGCGTGTGTGCCTGCCTGCCTGCCTGCCTGCCTGCCTGCCTGCCTGCCTGCCTTGCCTGCCTGCCTGCCTGCCTGCCTGCTTGCTTGCTTGCTTGCTTGCTTGCTTGCTTGCTTGCTTGCCTCGTTGCTTGGTTTCTTGCTCGCTCGCTTGTTTGCTTGCATGCTTTCTTGATTGGTTGCTTGATTGGTCGCACGCTCGCCTGCGTGCTTGCTTGCTTGGTTGTTTGGTTGCTTGGTTGCTTGCTTGGTTGGTTGGTTGGTCGCTTGCTTCCTTGTTTGTTTGCTTGCTTGCTGGCTGGCTTGCTTGCTTGCTTGTTTGCTTGCTTGCTTGCTTGGTTGCGGTTGGTCAGTCGATTGGTTGATCAGTTGATCGGTTGATCGGTTGAACGGTTGATCAGTTGGTTGGTTGGTTGGTTGGTTGGTTGGTTGGTTGGTCGGTTGGTCGGTCGGCTGGTTGGTTGGTTGGTTGGTTGAAGTTGGCTGGTTGGCTGGCTGGCTGGCTGGCTGGCTGGCTGGCTGGCTGGCTGGCTGGCTGGCTGGCTGGCTGGCTGGTGCTGGCTGGCTGGCTGGTTGGTTGGTTGCCCAGTACCTTCTGTCCAAAGCAAGATGGAGCCCAGGGGCCCCAAGCAAATCTCTTTTTGTTCCAATAGCCTTCAGTATCATCCGGCGGGCGGGAACGGCGGCGGGGTGTTCAATCAAGAGCGTCTTCTCCCGCGGTGTGGGTGTGACTATTTCTTTGGGGTGGGGCAATGCAGTGGACATGTTTGTCCATCAACCATTGTGGCGGGGTCTATGCGAGCCAAGGAACCCGACCATCACAAAGCCCGCCCTCTCAGGCGGCAGACCAGGAAGATGCAGCGATGGCATGATCAGGAGCCTGCAACAAATTGCAAGTTGCCCATCCCCGTGTTTCGGGTTCCATGACGGGTTGCCTTCGTATACGTTGGAAGGACAACCAGTGTCCTCCCATTCATGGAGGTTTGCAAAGGACTTCTGGAACACCCATCTTCGCAAAGCTGCCAGGCTACTTCCTGAATCAAGAGCAAGTAAGGCTTCCCAGATTGGTGTAAACCAAAATGGTTGATAGAATTCATCCGAGCCTTGAACATCTGCTTCCCGGATTAGTGGTCCTTCGCTGGAAAAGCACCCTTCCACGTGTTGATATCCTGCACTCCCCTCGACTCCCAGCCGCGGTGCCCAGCAATGAAAGGGCCCACGGTCTCGCTGGCCAGATCGATCTGCGACATCATGGAGTTGGTGCCTTCGATGAAAACCCACCTTTGGGAAGGTCCCATTTTGCAGGTCTTGAGAGGAGCACCTTAGCTCCAAAGAAGAAGGGGCTTTCCCTAAAAGGTGTAGCAACTCTCATTTCACTGTTGGACTGACGGTCGTGTCCTTTCTCTCCAAATGGCCATGCAACCCAAAACCAGCTAACCCTGATGGTGAGGTTTTGTGGGCTTACCTGGCACCAAGGGGTGCAAATCCACATCCAGCTCCCACCAATCCAACCCCATTGAGGGCTGTGTTAGGGTTTGTTTAAAGGCAAGCCAAAGCATAAAGACTTTCTTTGCTTCGAACCATCCCCGCGTAAGAGCTTTGTTTGCCAATGGGTGTTGCCGGTGAGAAGCACCAAGAGCTAGCAAAGGCCACAAAATGCCCGGTGCGCCGAAAAGAAAAATACATAAATAAAATAAATAAATAAGTAAACAAAAAAAACTGGGGAACACTTGAGCCACGGTCAATCTATGTGGATATCATACATCCCCTGGTCTGTGTGGAATATCTAGTGCATCCCCCCCCGGCACGTTCCTCCCAAATGAACCAACACATCTGGATAGTGAACAAACCTCACACGTGTGCATCTTCTGGAGTATCCTTTGCTGGTCGTTTCAGAGGGAAACAATGGAAACTGCCCAAATTGGGACCACCATCGGGAGACAACCCGTGGTTCCCTTCAAAAAAAATGCCCTGAGGCAACTCACTTTTACAGGGGCAAACTCGAAAAGAGTACCTTCAAGTTCCCCTATGTTTGTCAGCCGCTCATATGAATCAATATCAAAACCTGGTCTTAAATTGGTCTACCCAAATCCATGCAAAAAAAGTATGAAACAAGTAAGCAAACAGACAGACCGACAAACAATCAAACAAACAAACAAACAAACAAACAAACAAGCAAATAAACGAATCAATACATAAAGACAAATATATATATATATATATGTGTGTATGCACATGTTATAAACATACACAAAAAGCAGCCGCGCCTATTTGTAGCTAGGACTATCCCTACCTTCGTATACCAGAATCGGTTTTGATTGTGTGACTCATATGGCCAACAAAGGAAGAAGATGTATGGGTGTAACCTTTTTGAGGTTTTCCAGATTCAAAGGAAGACCAAAAGGAACTATCCCAATATGCATATCAGAATCAGCCACTTGATTAAATATTTGTATAGAATAATAATTCTTATCCAAATGTTCAGTTTCAAATTCAGCAATAGCAGACTCGAAAGTCTTCACGCAAAAAAACACACAATAATATCACCCACCATGTTTTAGGTAAATACAACCACCATTATTTAGGATGTCCATCCTCCAAATTGGGTCACATGGGTGTGGCTCAAAATTAAACAGGAGGGGCAAACCGCGGGTTTTGGTCCATGTTTCCACTTACCAAGGGCAACCCATTTTGGAATTCCGCTTTTTTGAGCCACTGCCACATTGTTTTAATGGGGGTTGCACCCCAGGGACCATTTAAACTCCATTTAACGCCAAAATTTCTGGGGACTACGGGAGCGCCGAGGAGTCGAGCAGCGCTTGAGCATGTCGCCCTCAAAGAGGCGCGGCGCCCACTCCCGCTTCACAGACACGTCGCTCAAAGCGGCACCCAGCTTCTCCTAAGTTGGCCAAATGGCCTTGTCTCTTAATCAAGATGTGTGGTTTCCTTTGGGTTTCTCAAAAATGGGTTGTGTTCTTTTGGTGGCCTAAAAATAGCCTTTGGCTGCTTAAATAATGTGTTGATTCTTGTTGGTTGCTCAAAGATGGGTTGTCTTCTGTTGGCTTCTGAAAGGTGGGTTGTCTGTTCGGCTGCAGTAAAATCGGGTGCTTCCTTTGGGTGTCTTTCTTTTGGCTTCTCAATAGTGGGTTGTTTGTTGTTGGTTTCTCGAGAATCGGCTGTGTCCTTTTGGTGGGGAGTGTCCTTTCGATTCTGAAAAGCAAGCTTGTTTTCTCTTGGCTTCTCTAAAGTGGCTTGTTTCTGGTTGGTTTCTTAAACATGGGTGGTCTTTTTTAAGAAAGATGTGTCTTTGGGGTTTCTTACAAATCAGTCGCTTCATTTTGGCTTCCCTTTACACCATCCAACACAGCTTCTTCCCGAGAAAAATCTGTCCAACTGATCCGGACTCCAGGTATGGCACCTTCTTGAGCCGGCTTCACTTCACGATGCGATCAGATTGCAGAAATACTGTGGATGGTGACGCGAAATCCAGAAATAGCACCACCGAACTCAGAAACCCTGGTTTCTGATTCGAGTCCCCAACGTAAATACCGCCAATGGTTTCAAAGTGGTGCGATTTCTGGATTTTGCAACCATCCAGTGGAACATGCTTCCTCAGCCTGGGGCTGGCTACTGGCTCATGAGTTCCGCCGCGAACATTTGGCGCCTCGGTTTCCCTAGAAGAGGAAGCCGGATCAACAGGACCCCGCACGTTTCCTCCATTGCAAAGTCGGCCATCCCCGTTGGGTTTTTCCATCGAACTGTTTTTCGGCGCGACCCTCGCGACCTCTTGAATACCAGGGACTCGCTCTAAAACACTCGCTGTGGTTCACCTCGGGGAGCTACGGTGGATGGTGACGCGAAATCCAGAAATCGCACCACCGAATTCAGAAACCCTGGAATGATTCGAGTCCCCAACGTAAATACCAACAAACAATGGCTGCCCATGGTTTCAGAGTGGTGCGAAATGGATTTCGTCCACAGTATGTCCATTGAATTCTCTGGCAGCCATGCAAACAGTGCCTTTCTTCTTGGCTCAGGTCAGAACAAGCTGGAACCGAAAGCACGCTGCCTTGAGGTTCTTTCTGTTTTGGGGGGTCCAAAATTTGTAAAAGAAAAAGGAGAGACACGCCCAAATACGACGCTTTCCTTACTTGGCCTTTGCTTGAAAACCAACTGTCTTCCATGTTAAACGCTTTTGTTTGTTGTTTTTTGCTCGAAAAGCCCATCTCTTCCATGGTGTTTCACCCCATTTTCTGAGTTTCTCACAATGGTCGACCCCCTTGTAATTCAAAGGCAAACCAACAGGCGACCACCTGCTTGGAGGGGTCCCCAATCTTGAGAAACCTATGGTCAGACCGTCAGAAAGACCCACATCTGCACCAAAAAAAGATCGGGCCGGAAGCATAGGTGGCCTTTTGGAAAAGTAGATGGGTTCCCCTGGTAAATGGTTGATAAACCCCACCTAAACCCGTGGAACCCATCTATTTTTAGCCAAACTCAACTGAAAAAAACATCATCCTCTAGCAAAACTCGCCTAAAAACCAAACCGGTTTTCTCCTAAGACACAGAACCGCCCTCGGTTTTTTTCGCCGAACGAACACCGATCAAAAGATCGACACTTTTTTGCCGCAGGTTCCAGCACGCTGAAGCCGCTGAAGGCCAGCAAAGCGCCCCAGTCGCTGCCCTCGGCTCGAAATCGAACTCGGAAACCCAGCGAAGTTTCTGAGTCTATTCCCCGTAAAAATTAAGAGGGAAAAACAAAAAAGAAAGCAAAAAAAACAAGGTATGGTGTTTCACGGTTTCAACCATAGCTTCAAAGTGGTGTGTTTGCCTAAGTCAAAGGTTCAAGGCCCCCGAGAAAAGAAGAAGAAAAAAAAAGGAGAAATACCAACTTTAAGGTCCACCAAACTACCAACTTTAAGGTCCACTTGAAAACCTTTGCCCAACTTGGGTCCCCTGAAAAAAAAAACAAGAAGAAAAAAACGCACGTTCTGGCTTTGGTTTCAACCATAGCTTCAAAGTGGATTTTTTGCCTTGCCCGAAGTCAATCGGGTACCGCTTTGTGAGAAAATATGGTAGGGTAACCCCAAGATGGGTTACCCTGGTAAATGGAAACCTCCGGACTAGAACTAACTTTCACCCCATAGCAATCTGAGTTGTTATCTGACCCTAAGAATCTTGGGACCAAACTCCAAATGCTTAGGTTATGAAAGTCCCAACCCTTTGCCAATGTCCAAACTGGTCCAGCTAACCACACTTGAGGGAGGTTTCAAGGCCGAGCCTGGCCAATCAAGTCATGTGGGGCTCCGAAACCTTACTAACAGTCACCCCAGATCCAATCGAGTTGGGCGGGCCAAAGACTTGGGCTGCCGCCAAAGGCAACCAACCAAGGTCAAGAGTCTCTATACTACTTTGGTATTTCCCGAGGTTTCTACCTGCAAATTGCAGTGGCTCCCCCCACTCGAACTGCCCACCGAAACGAACATGTGGTCAAACCAGGGGCCCGCAGAATCCACCACGAGAGGGGAATCACGGCGTCACTCTGCTTGAGCTCGGCATCAGGAGAGTGGGGTTGCAACCGAGTTGAGGAGCATTCATTTGGCGGTGGCTCAAAAAAGTGGTACCAAAATGACACCTTTCTAAATGGAGACCAACAGCAAAACCTGCGTAACCCTAGGTCTTTAATTTTGAGCCACACCCATTTCGGTGGCAATCTGCTTACAGCCGGGTCCTTCAAGCCTCAACCACCCGGCGAGAAAAAGACAGACTGCCTCTTCAGGAAGTGCCGCCGGTCACGGGCCGGCTGAATTTTTTTTAGAACCCTCAGGCAGCAACAAGGCTGGGACGATATCCATTGTAGTTGCGGAAAAAAAGGGGAGGAAAAAAAAAAAAAAAGAGAAACCTGACGCCACTGCAGATACGAGCTGCAACAACTGAACCTTGCTACAAGTGCGTTCTTTGTGCTTTGGCTCAAATGTTGTGACGGCCGTTGTGAAGCGTGTGGTTTTATCACAGCGCAACAGGGGCCTGGCAGCGCCTTTGGTCATGAAGGATCTGTGTTCTTTGTGAGTTTCTTTAGACATGGCTGTGGGTCAAAACCCAGGAAACCCCTGGTGAACGTAAAAATAGCTGGCAAATGGATGTTCATCCACCCCAACATGGAGCCATAGGTTTTGCCCCATGGCCACATCTGTTTTCCACCATGAATCATACTTGAGTTTGGCCAGCACCTCCCACCACAAGACCGTCACACCTGTTCTGGAAGCCGTCAGCTGTCAGAGATTACAAACCGAGTTGTAATTCCTTCCCGAACCTGTGGACTATAAGATATGGTACCCCACGGGTTGACTGTTAAGATAGTGACACGACCTCCAGAGCTTACCTCTGCCCCCACCCAGCCCGACCTCCACTTTCGACAGCAAAAGCACCGCTGTGGCGCCCAAAACCGCCACCGCCTCCGGTCGAACCCCACATGGGAAGCAGGTAACTTGCTGGTTCGGGGAAGAAAGAAAAAAGCGTGGTCTTTGGAATAAAGGATAGGGATCCCGCTGAACAGAAACCACCAATGCGATGGCTCAGCTTGGGGTCATTCCCTCATTTCCCTGCCAGCTACATAAAGCAACCACACACAATACTCGTTGGCTGCCACTCATGGCCCCAAAATTGGTGGTCTATGCTTAGTTTGGGCATGGGAGTCAGCCCAAGAACTTGCGCCAAAACCCACAAGCCGCCAAAGACCTTCCCATGCCCTCTTGCGGAAACTGGTAGAATTTGTCTGGAGCTCGCATGGGCGTGTTGCAAGAACGCGAAACTCCTGAAACCAAACGACACATTCACAGGCAAAGGTTGAATCCGATGATGTGCCTCGATGAAATCTGCATTGAAACTTCTTGCAAAAGGGGGGGTTACCTGATTCATCAAAGGGCACCAAACCCGGACCAAACCCCTTTTCAACTCGTTTCCAAGCGCCCGTTGATTCTTTGTGGGCGCTGCAAGAGCTCCAATCTAATCTGGGTGTGAGCTCTGCTCATTGTCAAAGGATGGGTGCTCCAAATGAGGTCTGCGAAAAAATACTTCCTCTGACCCTTGACAACCGTAGGGCTGAAGGCTAAGGCTTAATGTCACCAACCAATGCGGCCACGCGGTACCATCACAGTTGACGTGTCGCGTAGTTTGAAGGGGGGACTGTTGGGCTTGGAAGAGCAAGTTAGAAAAGGACCAGTTTGGGTAAATGTCAAAAGCCTGTGAAAGCCAAGGCTATCCCTTTTTGACACATAGCCATGGCCCGCCTTCTGAACAATCAGAACAGTTGCTCTCAAGATTGCCCTCCCTCCCACGAACATGGCAACTGACACAGGGCATTCGGTGGAGGAAAATCATCTTCTGGGTACCCTCCATAGTCGTCATGCTTGTTGGAGGGTCATGCTTGTTGGAGGGAGGGAGCAGTTGGTGGTTCTTGTCCATCAGTAAACCCCGCACTTGAAATCGGAATGCACACATTCTCATCACAGTCCCACCCTTCCCCCGGCTCGTGCGAAACTGGCTGTGTGTGTGTGTGTCCTACGATTCCTTCTTATTGGCTAACCAAAGAAAGTTTAGCAAGAACTTCGTCGTACTAGAACAAAATGAGCCAGCTCGCTCAAAGGATTCACCTTCCGTAATCTTTAAGAACAGATGCTCCGTGAAGAAACTAGGAAAAAGCTGGAACCGGAGCTGGTAGCTTGCGCGGAGCGGTCTCGGCGCCTTGCCCATGGGCACGGACGCGCGCACGCGCTTTTCGCAACATCAATTTGTGCGGCAGGCGCAGCACTTTCGCAAGTTCAAATAGATATACAGACAGATAGATTAGATTAGAATGAATTAAATAGGATAGGATGGGATAGGATAGGATAGGATGGGATAGGATGGGAAAGGATGGGATAGCATGGAATAGGATGGGATAGCATGGGATAGGATGGGATAGGATGGGATAGGACAGGGTAGGGTAGGGTAGGATGGGATAGATAGATAGGTAGACAGATATGGATAGATAGATGGATAGATAGATAGATGGATGGATGGATGGATGGATGGATGGATGGATGCATGGATGAATGGATGGATGGATAGATGGATGGACGGATAGATGGATAGATACATACATAGATAGATACATAGGTGATTGATTGTTTGGACTAGACTGGATTGAGTAGATGGGTTAAATTAGATTAGACTGTTAGATAGATGCATAGACAAGAGGGATAAGGCAGATAAAATAGATGAGATAGATCAGATATATAAGCTAGACAAGATAGATAAGATATACCAACACCGATAGATATGATAGAAATTCACACAGACAGACAGACAGACAGACAGACAGACAGACAGACAGACAGACAGACAGACAGACAGACAGACAGACAGACAGACAGACAGACAGACAGACAGACAGACAGACAGACAGACAGACAGACAGACAGACAGACAGACAGACAGACAGACAGACAGACAGACAGACAGACAGACAGACAGACAGACAGACAGACAGACAGACAGACAGACAGACAGACAGACAGAGACAGACAGACAGACAGACAGAGACAGACAGACAGACAGACAGACAGACAGACAGACAGACAGACAGACAGACAGACAGACAGACAGACAGACAGACAGACAGACAGACAGACAGACAGACAGACAGACAGACAGACAGACAGACAGGCAGTCAGGCAGGCAGGCAGGCAGGCAGGCAGGGAGGCAGGCAGGCAGGCAAGCAGGCAGGCAGGCAGGCAGGCAGGCAGGTAGAAAGGTAGGTAGGTAGGTAGGTATGTACGTAGAGTTGCAAGCAGATAGATAGACAGTCAAATAGATAGATAGATAGATAGATAGATAGATAGATAGATAGATAGATAGATGGATAGATACATAGATAGCTTAGATAGCTAGATAGATAGCTAGATAGATAGCTAGATAGATGGCTAGATAGATAGCTAGATAGATAGATTAGACAGGATAGGATAGGATAGGATAGGATAGGATAGGATAGATAGATCGATAGATAGATAGACAAATAGCTAGCTAGCTAGATGGACAGATAGATAGATGACTAGTTCGGAAAAAAATAAGAAGACAAAACTAAGCTTCGAATTTGCCTTTTAAGCCAACCTCCCCAACGAGAAGTCCCCCTTGACCTCTTTACCGCTCCTTCGCCTCGCGACGCGCTTCGCCTCACGGCTCGCTCGCGCCTGCGCGGCCACGCCCAGCGTCACCGTGGTTTTGCGGCAGCTGCGGTCCGCCCAGGCGCCCAGCGGGGGACTCAGCAGCGAGGTGCCCAGCGTGGTGCAAAGTCCCCAGAAGGCCGGGCCTGGCGGAGCTCCGAAGAAAACAAAAAGCGGCGCCTCGAGTGGCGCGGTGCTTTTTCTTTTTCCATGTCTTTTTCCCACTACAGTAAACCCTTTGGCCTCATAGGCTTGTTTGTCCATGGTTTTTCCATGGCTTTTTCATCACTGTTCATGGCTTTCTTTCTTCATAGCGGTTGGTGCTCTCTTTCTTCTTTTTTAACGAGAACCGTAAAACCAGTCACCCTTCACAAGGCTGCCCCTTTTTCTGATCTGGGCGGATGGAAGCTGAAAAGATCCTGGTCCAGTTTCCACGGTCGCGTGGCAAGCCGGTTCCTGTTGGGTGTGCTCAGTAGGGAATGCCCCGTTCGGGTGTTGGGAATGACCCGGTTCCCTTAAAGGAGACCATAGATGATGGTTCATAAGGGTCATTCCCTCATTCCCTGCTGAGAATGAGAAAGAATGGCGAAACTCGACCTTGGTCAATATTGATCTAAACAACCACACCCTGCTTCCCAGAAAAAAAAAAAGAAAAGAAAAAAAAACTGAATCTCTTTCAACACGTGTTTTGATCTCTTGACGAATTGGCCGTTGGTTTCGGTTGTGGCTTCAGTCGATTGGGTTGCGAAAAGCGGCGGAGAGAACCCCCCAGAATCTCCAGCACAGTCTGCCAGACAGGGCTCCTTGTGGATGGTTGAGAAATCCATCTCGCAAAACGCAAGGAAACTATATGGTGCAAACCATGTTTTGCTGGTATTTACACTATATAGGGGAATAATCAGAAACCAGGGTTTCTTAGGCGGTGCGAAGTGGACTTTGTCCATCCACCCTAAAAAAAATGACCCCACAAAAATCATGTGTTTCCCCCCCCAAAAAAAAAAAAAGACGTCTGCAACACAACGGCGGCAAGGTCCCAAGTTTACACCATCAACAAATAATACAAAAACAATAAGAGGAAGCAAAACAAAGAAGAAACCAAAAAATAGAGAAACATATGAAAAAGAAAAAAGAACCCGCGCCTAAGAGCTGGCCCGGGGTGAACCTCAGCAGCACCAAGGGCGCAATGAAGAGCCAGCCCTGGGTCGCCAGCCTGCGACTTCCCCGCGACCGACCCGGGAACTTTTTGGTGAAGAAAAAGGCGACCGGTGAGTGGGTCAAAAGGGAAAGCACACGGAAAATTCAATTGTGCTTCTCTTTGCTGGTGCGATGGGTAGGGAATGAGTGGGAATGAACTAGTTTTCTTGCTGGTGCGATAGGTAGGGAAGGAGGGAATGAACTTGGGGGTCCCCTTAAAGGAAACCCCAAGGGATGCATATTCTTCCCTGCTGAGCACCGGCAAGTCTGGGCGGTTGGGAGAAATGAAAAGACCCACACACAAGGGAAAACCCCCGACTCACAACAAAGCTTGACGTGGGAGCATGGATCTGGTCGGTCATGAATTGGCGGTTTGGAGAAGTGGCTTGCATAGATTCGAACTCCTGGTTCCGCTTGTAACTCACCTAGAAAGCTGGCGCTGTGACGCTCCTGGTCAAGAATCTGATAATTGTAGCCAAGATTCACCATATCTTCAAAAGAGAGGGGCCAAACGTTTGAGCTAAGCTTGCCGTTTTTCAGTACACAAAGCCTTCAATGGCTAGTTCCCTTCTCGGTTTTCTTTGCAGCCACAAGGGTTCCCTATTCTTGGAAATACTCATCGTCATGTCACCTTTCAAGGATGTGTGAAATGCGTCTTGGTTCAACTTCCGCAGCCATATTTGGAGGAATCCCTCATGAACTGCAAGGTTGTCCATTGCAGTTTGCAATGGCGGGGAATTGTCCTCAAACTGATGTGTGCGTGTGGGTCTGTGTGCCGATTGCCTCGAGCAACTGTGCCTTCTGTCATGGAAACAATCTTCGTCAAGGGAGCCTAACTAAGCCACGTTCAAAACGTACGGTTCCCCAACTGGACATGGGAAAATTGGTGTCCCGTGGTTTGCAGGATTCCTCGGAATTCTACCAACTCCCTCCCTGAATAAACCATGTGTTTGCTTTTTATCCAAGACTCATCTATGGAATTGGGGGGTGGCTTTTTCACTGCTTCCACATTGCCATATGCGCACTTCATGTAAGAAAACACACATGCGGCCACAAATGGGAAAGACCACTGCGGGGGGCTCCCATCCCCACCTAGAGGAACATGAGCAGTTGGTCCAGGATAGGTACGTATATATATATATATATATATATTCACATATTTATATACATGCACGGAAAGTAAGCAGACCCCTGGCTTCGGAGGGCTTCCAGCGACGACTATGAGCCATAGGAAATGTGGTTGTCGCCTCGCGGATGCTCGTATCAAGTCCCGGCCCTGTTCCACATGCGGGTGACTCGTCTTTTCTTTGGGGGACACCCAAAATGCTGGTTTTCCTGTTGGTTTCCATTAAGAAAAAGACACACCCATACTGTAGATGCACCCTTGATTCGCCTTAAACTGCTCTATATTCAAAGTCAGAGCTTCAAGTTCAAGGGTAAGCTCATTTTACCCGCAGCCGAGTCCAGCTGCTGGTGGCGAACATCGTAATGTTGATTTAAACATCTTTTGAATTATTACATTGGTGCAGAAAAAATGAAGGTGCAATTTGCCATTCGATGGGTTTGTTGCCTAGAGAAGACGACTTTAAACAGCTTTTGGTTTGTTGCATTGGTGCCGAAAAAAATGAAGGTGCAATGCGATTCGATGGGTTTGTTGCCTAGAGAAGACGACTTTAAACATCTTTTCAATTTTTGTATTGGTGCCGAAAAAAATGAAGGTGCAATTTGCCATTCGATGGGTTTGTTGCCTAGAGAAGACGACTTTAAACATCTTTTGAATTTTTGCATTGGTGCCGAAAAAAAATGAAGGTGCAATTTGCCATTCGATGGGTTTGTTGCCTAGAGAAGACGACTTTGAACATCTTTTGCGAAAAAAATGAAGGTGCAATTTGCGATTCGATGGGTTTGTTGCCTAGAGAAGACGACTTTAAACATCTTTTCAATTTTTGTATTGGTGCCGAAAAAAATGAAGGTGCAATTTGCCATTCGATGGGTTTGTTGCCTAGAGAAGACGACTTTAAACATCTTTTGAATTTTTGCATTGGTGCCGGAAAAAAATGAAGGTGCAATTTGCCATTCGATGGGTTTGTTGCCTAGAGAAGACGACTTTGAACATCTTTTGCGAAAAAAATGAAGGTGCAATTTGCCATTCGATGGGTTTGTTGCCTAGAGAAGACGACTTTAAACATCTTTTGAATGTTTGCATTGGTGCCGGAAAAACATGAAGGTGCAATTTGCCATTCGATGGGTTTGTTGCCTAGAGAAGACGACTTTAAACATCTTTTGAATGTTTGCATTGGTGCCGGAAAAAAATGAAGGTGCAATTTGCCATTCGATGGGTTTGTTGCCTAGAGAAGACGACTTAAACATCTTTTGAATTTTTGCATTGGTGCCGAAAAAAATGAAGGTGCAATGCGCTTCGATGGGTTTGAGGCAACATACAGTAAGACTACACGCCTCACGTTTTGCCTGGAGCTCTCTCGACCCCGCCTGGTGATGCCATGGCTCAGCAGCAGCTTCCGGTAGACGCTTTGGTCATCCTCTCCCGGCAATAGCTGCTCTCTCGACGCCATCCCAACCCGGAAACGTCTCCGAAGCGGAGTGATGACAATTGAACATGTGTGCGATGTCAACTAAAAGAAACGAGATCAACCCTACAAATGTGTACAGTTGCATGTTCCTTCAAAGCAAACGTCGATCAGCACATGCAGTTCAACGTGTGCAACATCATGAAATTCCCGCAACCTTGCGACAAGCTACTCTGTATCCTGTCTACCTGGCATGTTGCCCAAAATATCGAAAAATCGGATCGTCAACAAAGAGAGAGCCGGATTCTGCGGTTTGCGTACCAGGGGCGTGTATCTGAAGGCCACTCTCCCTAACTTGAGCTGCGGAAAGCGCCCATATGAGACACGAGAGTGTTGGTCTGCATCATTCAAACAGCCCTTGAACACCCAAAACTTCCATGACGGAAATGCTGGTCAATGGTGACAATAAACTCCTGATAAAATGTAACTGTCCGATCTCACCACAAAGTCCCGGCCCATCGCTCCGTCGAGCGGCTACATATATAGCCCAGTTGTTGTTTTAAGCCGTTCTTCCTCGTGGTCTTTCGCTTGCGGTTCCCCCTTGCAAAACTTGGGTGCCTTGGGATATGTTGATTGCCTCAAGGCAATTCGCGCATTTTGCACACGTTGCTCCTCTTGTGTACCTTGTTTGTCGGGTTTGGTTTGGCCCTTCCCTTAAGACGGGATCGGACGCAGCATTAATGTCCAAACAACAAGAGCAAAAAAAAACACGTTCAGGCATGTCGCACTGCTCCTAGCTTGAACCCAAACATGAAACCTCAAAAGAACAAAGCTCGTCCGAAGCGGCCGCAGTTCTTTTTACCGGGATTGCTGAAAGTTGCACTGCTTCCAGGGCACTAGTGCGCCTGGAGCAGGAGGCACATTGACCCCCCGAAATGTGAAAAGGCAAGACAATGCGTGTCCTTGCGTGTAAATGCAGTGCTTGGGGGGGCGCGGCATGCGTGCCCACGCCCCAAGGTCCGGAGACCGACAGTCCGGAGACTCGAGGTCCGGAGACCGAAATTGGTCCGGAGACCTGGTCCGGAGACCAAAGTGCCCGGAGGCGACCCACGAAAGTGCAGAGAAACTGCTATCTATCCTGGCAAAGCCTGGCATAGGGCAGTGCAGGGCGGGTGGGTGGGTTTCAGAAATGAAACCGCAGGTTTGGGTCAAGGCTAGGAGCAAAACGGCCAACGCATAGTTCGATTCACCACATGCCCTAAACACAAGGGAAAAGAAACCCTAAGCGTTAAGGCATGTCGCACTGCTCCTAGCTTGAACCCAAACATGAAACCTCAAAAGAACAAATCTCGTCCGAAGCGGCCGCAGTTCTTTTTACCGGGATTGCTGAAAGTTGCACTGCTTCCAGGGCACTAGTGCGCCTGGAGCAGGAGGCACATTGACCCCCCCTTCAGTGTTTCAGGCAACCCCGGTAAAAGCGAACCCGCTGGGCCGAAGGCCTCATCACCCGCCCTTCAGAGTGGGGTTGTACCTGGCAGGGCAGATGTTAGCGGCACCATGCACGCTGGGTTGTGAACAGCTTGGCATGCGGTGACTGCACTTTTTTCTGGTCAGAGCGGCTTGAGTAAGCGGCTGGCTGACGTCGCCAGTTGTTCTGGCTGACAGGGCAACGGCGGATATTGGGTCAGAAGGCCATGTCGGATGCAGGCTAGGCTGGTGCAGCGACGACGGAGGCTGCTGCCAAATGTTCCGGACGCCAGGGCGCATGCATCGGACACAGTTGAATGCCTCGGCCTGACATCGCTAGGCTTGCAGGGCTGAAGCGTATACCGGGCCAACCGACCTCTGCTGAGATCGTCCGCCCAATCATTGCACCTTCCTGGAACGTGCGTCGGCTGCAGCAGCACGTTGTGAGCGTGAGCCCAGAAGGCTGTTAATTGCACAAAAAGTTGCAACGGCCAGGAGGTCGTGAACAGTTTGTTAAGGCTTGCTTCCGTGGCGGAATTATCTGTGCCGGAAGGCATGCTAAACGAGTAGTGCCCACCACCAATGTGGCTGTGGGTTGCTTGCAGCAGTGCTAACTGTGCAAGAGTTTCAAAGCATGCGATGTACCGCTGTCCTGGCTTGACAAGGCAAGGCCACACGGCTCTTATGTCTTGCATGTTCCAGGTCTCGGCGAACCACACCACTTGGGAGGATGTGATTGCCCAGCCCCCAATCCCCACCATATCATCTTCGGCACACGCGTCGGCGGCAGCCAGAGCTTGCAGCTGGCGTGGCCGCGCCAAAGGCTGAATGGGCGAGCGTCGAAAGCACGACGCCAGCCAAGTAAGGCACTGTTGGCTTGACTTGGAAAGGCTGGTGTATGGGTTGTTGGGGTCCGCGATGCGCACCCATGTGGGCTTGCTAGTGCCAGGCACTTGCGGAATGTCTTGAGGGCAATGCATGGTGCGGCCTGAAATTTCCAAAATTTTGGAGCCCGCTGTGATCCACAAGCCCGGGAGGCTATGGCTAGTTTTGAGGTCCTTAGTCAAGGATGCTCGAAAGGCTGACGGTATTGAGTGCATGGAGCCTGGCGGGCTGAGGTCCGCGTAAAGCGGTGCTAGCCAGGACCTGAGGTGTAGGGCAACGCTGGTGGCCCAAATAAGCAGGCCTATGCACTGCTCGAGTGTTTTGCGGGGCACACGTCGATTTCCCAACAGGGATTTGATCAAGGCGTCCAGCTTGGCTAGCTTAGCGGACACGAGCTGAATGGTGTCGTGAGAGAAGTTGACCAAACCAGGCTATCCTGGAATTGCGCCTTTTTCCACGAAATGGGTGCTGCAATGGCACAAAAGAAGAGCACCACCAAGGCAAACATGTCTGGCGCGCTATCCCGGAAGAGTGCACAGAGCAGGTCGTCCACAAAGAGGAAGGCTTTGTGTGGCTTCCAGGCTAGCAACCCATGCACCTGACGAAGCAAGAATGCGCCGGTGCGCTGCCACCAGAAAGCCGAGAAACGGCCCCCAAAATGGCACACTCTGTAGTGGTAGAGCTTCCCTTGAAAGGCGAAGAGCAGAAGGCCATGCTC